GTATAATTGTATTTAGATCATATTATTATATTTATTGTTACACTAATAGAATTATTTATTTATTTATATTAAAAAGTACAGAAATTACATTTGAAACTATTATTAAGAGGGGGTCCAGGGGGCGAGCCCCCTGACTTTCGCCGAAGGCGAAAAAGCGAAGCTTGTTAACGCGGTAAATACAAATGTAAATGAATTTACGTTATAATATTTTATAACATTTCTTACAGCCGTGAATGACTGACTGACTAGGACTTGCGAGTTCCTGCGCCCTAGTATCAATGTTCCTATTGGGTCTTAAACAAAGGAAATAATGGCCTGACACAGGATCGGCTTACCTCGCCAGACATTGACTTGAAACCCTTGCGCACTTCCATCCACTGTTACAATTCAATCATTCATTGAATCATGAGCTTGCTGAGTTGTTAAGTACCTCAAATACTTTCCTACCTTCGCCAGGTGCATAGGCTTGGTCTCGTCTACACTCAACACGCAAAACCATATAGAGAAGTTCTTACATACTATTTGCCTACATTTCGCATACACGATAGAGCCTAGCGTATGAGCTACGTATCACGATGTCCCTTTACTTCGATGCATCTAATCATGGAGCCTTGGTCTTATTAAACATTCTGTCGTAGTATCCTTTGTTGTAATCCTAAACTAATCTTGAGCAACTAAACGATGATGATGATATAAAACCATCTTACCTCGTCGAACGTTGACTTGAAGCTCTCACGCGCTTCAATCCGTTTGTAGTAGTTCGTGAGCTTGCTGAACCGTGGGCTGTTGAGTACCTCAAATACTTTCCTTCCTTCACCAGGTGCAAAATTTCCGAGGTCATTCTTTGTCGACAAGAAAACACGAGCGAGAAAGGGGGCAATAGCCGCATCCGCAATTGTGAGATCATCAGAAACCGCGAACTTCTTGTCATCGGTAAGTAGCGCCTGGATCGCCTCGACAGCAGAGAAGAATGTATCTGCACTTTCACCATGGGCAACGAAAGCCATCCACCCAGCCACGAATTTAGTATTCACCGCATCGATGAAGAAACGCGCACGTGCTCGCAAGACAGGATCTCTTGGAAGGAGCTTTGATCCTGGGAAGAGGTCCGCGACGAATTCAAGCAGAACCAGTGACTCTGCAAGCTTAACGGACTCTGGATGCGGATGATCTGGGGGCACCTTTGGGCCACCGTACGAAAGTGCTGGAATCTGTACAATGCAATAGATAATGCACATTATTTTGTGCAACACTTTGATATGCGGGTGTCCGTACCTTGCCTACAGGATTGACTTGTTCGGTGAACCAACTCGGCTTATTCTGCAGGTCGATCTCATGTCTGGTAAACTCCGCGCCTGCCTCTATAAGCGCGATTTCAACCTTCAAAATTGCTCGTGAGGTCAGTTCAAACTCTAGCTAAGAAAAACGGATGATTACGCGCTGCCCACCAGGACAGATCTATTTTTCATTCGTATCCAGTCAGTCTAGGCAAAGTATCCAAATTTTGGTTGAGAATGGAGCATTGCTCACTTTGCCAGTGTAAAGAGTTATTTGTTCGGGCATCGCGTTGCTTTTGTCAGAGAACAGTGCAGATAGTTGGGATACTGTTGCATCTTTATAGTTGACGCCCAGCTCTGGGATTCTTTTACCTCCATAAGCCTTCTTGATGCGGATTTGTGATACTGTATTTACCCGAAGTGGCTGACAAAAGTGCTTTACGTGTTGACACAGGCTAAGATATTCTGATAAGATAATGAGCTATCAGGTTATTGAAAATATGTACTGAACAAGCCTGTAATATCTAACAAAGAGGGCCACAGTTTGAAGCTGCTTACACTCGATTCAAGTGACACTAAGATCTCATGACTTGGCGAATGTGCTTTGCTGGCTAGGGCAGTTGCTGACCAACAGATGCGAAGCGTGGCAGATAACAAATGTAAACACCGTTACGTCATACATTTTAACATCATACATATTCTACAGTCTGGCGTGAATGACTTCTTTGAGTTCGACTTCACTTTCATGCTGCGAGTTTCTTTGCCCTAGTCTCTGCAAACCGCTTTCCAAACTTCTCTTTAATGTGTTCCTAATGGGTTCGTAAGCCAAGGACAGAATTGCACTGCTGCAGAAGCGGCTTACCTCGTCGAACGTTGACTTGAAACTCTCGCGCGCTTCGATCCGCTTGAAGTAGTTCAAGAGCTTGCTGAACCGCGGACTGTTAAGGACTTCAAGTGCTTTCTTCCCTTCACCAGGTGCATAAGTTCCAATATCGTTCTTCAATGCAACGAAAGCACGACCAAGGAACGGAGCGATGGCTGCATCTGCAATCGTGAAATCATCGGCGACTGCGAACTTTTTGTCATCGGGAAGCAGCGCCTGGATGGCCTCAGCACCAGAGAAGAACGCCTCCGGACTTTCGCCACGGATAACGAAGGCTGCCCAACCCGGTGTGAGTTTGGTGCTCACAGCGTCGATGAAGAACCGTGCGCGTGCGCGCAGGACAGGATCCTTTGGGAGAAGCTTGGACCCTGGGAAGAGGTCCGCGAAGAATTCGAGTAAAACGAGCGACTCTGCAATCTTGACAGAGTCAGGAGAAGGCTGTTCTGGGGCTACTTTCGGACCGCCATATGAAATCGCAGGAACCTTCAATGATATCAATATCACTATGTGGATGTATGCGCTCACACATTATCCCTTACCTTGCTTGCCGGATTAACCTTGGGAGCATACCAGCCTGGCTTGTTCTGCAAGTCAATTTCATATCTTGTGTAGTCCACGCCCGCTTCCGCTAGAGCTATCTCAGCCTAAGTGTTGTAGTCGTGTTCAGCTCTATCTCGTCTGAGCAAGTCTACGATATGAATACTTACCCGTTGCGCATAAGGACAGATCTATTTATATTCGTGTTCGGTCAGTGTTCTGCCAGTGTAAGACGCGAATGCAATAATATTAGCACTCACTTTCGCAGTGTAAAGAGTAATTTGTTCAGACATTGCGTTGTCTTGTTGGTAATAGTGGAGGAGTTGGTCGGGAACGTGAGAGACACTGCTGATATATATACTTTTCCATTGCTCATTCCCACTTCGAGTGACGCGAGAACCCGATTACTGTCATATTGAAGTTCGTGGATGTGCTTCGTCAGCAACGCAGAAAATCCCGCAATCGGAGACTAAATGACGTTATGTGCATTCGTAAAAAAATCTGTACGACATAGTAACTACCAAATTCAATTAGGCAATGATTCATGAAAGTAATATCGTAAGCTAGTCATTATATCAAAAGCGTATAAGTCGAGGAGCAGAAGAAGGAAGCCCACGGCGATTGCCGAGTGCCGTGACTTCAATACATACAAATAAAAATGAGATTAGAATGGAAAGGGCATATGAAAGTTGTCATCTAGTCATGAGTCATAATTTAAATCTCTTGAACATCGATGCGATACGGTCAAAGCATGAGGTGACTTTAATCGACCCAGTTCGGCTCTTTATCAAATTTCACCCGCGGTTTGTATTTCAGGTCCTTTGCCTCCATGCGCAGCTTGACGGACCTATGTACATTAAGCGGTTCCTCCTGGGGAATTACGCGGGGTCGCCCACGGTTTATACTAATGACGCAGATTAAAGTCGTCCATTAGTTCAAGTTAGGAAAGGAAGGTGAAGAGTACTTACCACCATTTCTTCTTAAAAGTCCCATCTTTGAGTTGCACACGTTCGCGGAAAGGAATGAACTCGAGGATCCACCAATATTTTGCGATTTTAAGTTGATCATACTCCTCCGAACGTGCATCGAGTGCGTCATGCCGCATTTCAAATACTGTGAAATTCGGTTTGGTCGATTTGGGAGCGACGAGTGGAACCGGATCCGGTCGCAAGTTCTGCTTGGGAGGGACTTGTCCGACTTGCGGCACATTGTTCAGGGCTTGGTGTTCGTCGGAGATGGTAGAAAGCTTCTCTTCGTTCACCGAAGCACGTTCTACCTGCACCTTTGGTGCCTCCTCGCTGTCGCTGTCGAAGTTTACTAGTGTCCCGTCCATTGAAACGTTATGCTGACGCTCATGATCCGTTGACATACTGGGCGCACTGACTGGAGGTGGGTCACATGAAACTGATGTGGTGTTTCCGGTCTTCGCCTCTTCTACCTTCTTGGATGTATCTTGTGTCACCTCCATTCCGACGACCACCTCCTGTTTCTGATCTGCTTTCAACGGATCATTGTCTAGTAACGGAGGGATATCTGGCAGAAGCGGAGGTAGGGGACCAGGCTGAGGAATCTCTAATGGTCCAGGGTCATCAAGGCTGTCAGGGTGGGTAGGCTGCGACACTCTTGGGTACAGTGTCACTGGATCCAATCCGAGGTCGCGAAGACGATCCGCCTCGAATTGGATACCCGTCCGTGCAAGGAAGCATTCACGAATCATCCAACGCAGCGGAATTCGAGCCAAGTTGTTCGGCGTAGTATTGGGAACGGAACCGCCGCCAACATCTAGTGCAGGTAACACGAGTCATCAGTTTAACTGTCTACTCTGGACGAAGCTGGCTTCTACTCACCACAATGACAGCCAGCAAACCAGACTTCGAGCACATCAGTACGCCGACTACGATCGAGATACATCTGCTCGAGCTGATCACGCTCACTATCAGGGCTCAAGTCTTCCTTCTCGTCTTCGCCGTTCTTACTCTTGCTCCTGTCTCGATCAAGTGATACGCGTTCTACGACCTCTTGTATACCTTCGGAGACCCCGCGAGCTGAGCGTTTAATTGATCCAAGGATTGCGCGGGAGCGTGAGCCAGACTCAGAGCGACTTCCTTCAGTAGAGGTACGGATAACCTTTGTTGCGTGCGTTGTCACTTTGCCTCCGCTCGCGGCATCATCAGGTTCTGTCTTGACGTCGGCCTTTTGTTCCCGTTCCTCTTGTGGGTCGGTACCTTCCTTCTTGACTTCCTTAACTGCTATTACTTCCTTTCTCTTGTCCTTTCTTCGTCCACGAGTCATGGTCGATGCCCGCCGGTTAGATGGTGGCACGAAATCTCCGCGCTGAGCTTCTTGCTCGGTGATCTTTTGGTAAATGCTTGGCTTGAACTTGGTGCGGTGTTCGTCCAATGAGAGGGCATGCCGGAAGACCTTGATGGCAGTGTTCGACTTCGTGAACGGCAGGGTCGTCGGGAAAAGTCCCACAGATGCGACTGTGTCCCTGTATCGAGTAATGAGAAAAGGCAATGTCACATAAACAGTGAGAGCTGGAAGCTCGAGCGCGATGCCTGCTTACCATACACCAACAAACTCTATGTCTACGTCCATGGAGAAGGCTTTTTTCTGTACCGCTTGTTAGCTCGTCTCACTCTAATTGGAGATACAGAAATAGAAATAGAACACCCACAAATGCCACACTTTGTTGCCATCCCATCTCGGTGTCATTCTGGTACATCTTGTACGCAAATGGCACTTGCTGTTCGTTTCCGGCGGGAAGGAGGCCGACCTATTATTATCGACACCAGTTGCCACTTCAGTCAGGTCCGAAATACACAAGATATAATAGAAACCAACCTTATGGACCATACCAGCTAGTGCACGGGCTGTGTATGCCCCACGCGAAAAGCCAAAAATACAAATCTTGTCTCCTTCCTTGTCTGTATAACAATAAATTGTTAGGAATTCAAATTAGCCAAAGATAAATTCAAATAAGTAATCTCCACCGACATCACCGCGCAAGCGGTCAACGCAGAAAAATGTCTTGTGATGGGGCGTGGAAGGCTAGGCAGTAGAGATATCTACGCACAGTTTTGCATCAAGAAATTGTAACCACTCATTACATGGTGGCGGAGATTGCTGGCAAACATGAGATCGAGCGTCTTTGAGAGTTTCGAGTATAGCGGCGTAGCGACTTGTGGAATGCTATAGGTCCCTATCCCAGACTAATAGACACGCATTAGACTAATATATCGACGGATTAGACTGCTGTCGAAATCTACCTGGTAATAGACCAATTGTCTCTTTCGGTCGCCCTTCTTCAGAACCGAGAAGAATTGGACGACATTTGAGTTGTCCAGATCAAATCTTGCAGAGTTTTGTTAATCATTCTGAATAAACACAGTCTAGAATAGAAGCTCACTGGTCTCCGGTTCCATCGAAGCAGAGGACGATCGTTCGATGGCGATAGCTCCTGTCATGAGACGGCGGAATAAGCGGTCCGCGGTATTCTGTGTTCAAGCTAAGGGAGGTATCGGTCGAGAACGCAGATGTTTGGGACTGCATTGAGAGACGCAGTTCGCGTGCTCTATCGGCAAGCCGTGCTTGCAGACCAAGGGGATTCAAGCAACTAGGAGACGGAGAGCGGATACCATTATTGAGCCTAGGAGTTCCCAAGTCGTTTGGAGGAGAAGATGAAGGCAAGACCGAGGGAGCCGACGTAGATACCGAAGACATGTTGCATGAAGCAGGAGAGGACGCTTCTCAGGTAGCGCAGAAGAGGAAGGAATACTGTAAGATGCTCGCACTGCGAGACGTAGGAGACGAATGGATACGCAAAGACAGCCAAGTGGGACTAAAAGGGTACGGGTATATATACACTGAGGTATTCTAGTGCTTGGCTGAACTGATGCAAATGATGCAGGCGGGTGAGCGATGCGCTGAAACAGGAAAGGGCCCGCATTTTCACCCTTTCTTTGGTCAGACTTGCCGTGGACACCGGGGGATCATGCTTGGTCTGTGTTTGACGGGACGGGACAAATCTGAAGAAACGCGCTGGCGCCCCACAAGCGATGTTGATCAGATCCCGCTGCTTGGTTCGGTGGGAATTTGATCCGGAAGCAATGCAGATCATTTCATATTTCTTCCTCCGTCTCCTTCGATTGTCTCCCATTCCACCTGTCGCGCTTCATATTTGACATAGCAGAGCAGAACACGGAACATGTTAAAGCCACATAAATGGATAGTAAATATGCAGGGCCAGCGGGGGTCAGCGGACGCGCTGCAAGCCGCGAGGGCGCCAAATGGGCCTTGTCTGCACAGGTGTGAGCTATCTACAACAGATCCATAGATCAGTCTAGCGCACGATGAGTTGAGCATAGGAGTTATGTATGACTTGTCCTCGACAAAGGCCAAGGTCTTGGACGTGTTGGCATTGGTCCACTTACTGGAATCCAAAATGGTTGCCGACGGAGCGCTACAGAAGATGACGGGGAAATGCTGTCCCCGTTTCGAGTCTAACGTTAGATTAGGCAAGTCAATCAAACTTTAGTTCAAAAGAACACCCACCAGAAACTCCACCAATATCCAATGTTTGAAAAGTTCTTTGTTTGAGACCATAAGGAAATGCGCGTCAAAGAAGTCTTGCTGCAACAAGAAAAATCCGTAGTCGAAATAGTGTTTGAGTTAGAGACCAATAATAAACTACTACGTAAGTCACCATTTCGATTAAGAAATCAGACAATAAAGATAACTCATCGACCAGCGCTAGTCCATTAGCTGTTGTAGTGGTGCACAGGGATGCCCTGTCAGGGCAGTTCTCCGCTCAAGCAAGGACACGGAAAATGAACTTCTTTGATGACTGGTACAAGAGATCCGAATCAACTGTTGAAGAACTAGGTGGCGAGCCCTTGCAACAGGTTGCATCGCAGTACTTGGCAACCGTCATGAGCATCCTCGGAAGCCCGGTTGAATGGGCTTTATGTTCTTGTGCAAGAATTTTTGTGTTCGCTAAAGCTCTTTAAGCAGGATTTTATTGCAAGTGCTGATTGGAGAGAAGAAAATACTTACCCTACTCTTAAGCACTTTAAATACACAGTATAAGATTGTTCTATAGTATTTCCTTGACTTCCCTGCTGGAAATTTGGTACGGTTATCTGTATTTCGCAATCATGTCTACCAATACACTCACGAAACTATCTCCATGGTTCTCATTTATTTGTCAGTCCAAAAATAATCCTGCAGCACTGAATCCTGTCGTGATTGCCTCTCAACCATCTTCCTCACTGCAATCATTGTTGCATGCAACTTGGGTAGAATTGAGATAGCCTTGTTTGATCTTCACTCAGACCTCGGGTATCCATAATAGATGCGCCCTCAGTGTTCAGAGTTGTTTCCATGGTCACGATAGGTCATGAGGTCGACAAACCAGTGGGAAATAGTTTGATGCTATACAGAAAATCTAAGCAGCAAGTTGATGAAAGTCATGATTAAGAATGGGATGTGGTCCGGGAGACATGATCAAGAAAATGCTGCTGAGTAGGTGGTACTTTAATTCGTTGCTATAGAGCTGATAGAATGTATCAAAGAGTAATTATCTCAACTAAAGGTCGGACTAGGAGTGCTGGAGGAATTAGAGCAGTACGATCGCACCTGTCCTGGCATTGAAGAAACAGCAAGCGCCTCTTTTGTCTTGGTCATCATATCGACAAACGGACAGGAAGAAATATTTTGCAATGTGCTGATGGATATTGACACAACATTCGCTCAAGCAGTGGAGCTTGAATAAACCTTCTAGTAGCAAACGCGGCACAACAAATGGTGGATAACGAGAGCGCTTGTGATTTTTATCTCTTGAATAACACAGCGAACAAGGGAGAGGGGATTATAATTGATTGTCAAGAGTTTGGAGGTAATTCAAATTATCGGGTGTTGAAAGGTGAGAAAAGCTTAGTCAGTGATCTACGTTTCTTTTGATTTTTTGGTCTTGCTTTTCTTCACCGTCGGCGACGATGGCAACTCCTCTCTACAGCGGGTTGCGCACCCTGCGCATACCTGCTCTCAGATTATGTCGCCAACAACCTCTCAGTATGTTTTCATTACTGTAGTACTGCCCCGAGCTAACATTTTTCCTAGTATACTCTTGGAGACGTGCACTCGTACGTCCCCTCTCGACGACTTTGCCTCGCTTGACGCCTGCTGCTCAGGCTGTCGCGAGTCCAGATGCTAGCAAACAAGTCTCTGCCGCAGAGGTAGAAACGGATGAGCCCGTACCATTCTCGGATCTCAAAGGAAAAGTGTCTCCGAAAACTTTAGATGCAATTACTGTCCGACCTTTTAAGCATACGCATATGACCCCCGTGCAGGAGGCCGTGCTTGGCATGCTTCCTGCACTATCGGACCCACTCAAGAAGGATGAGAAGGGAAATTTTGTTGATTCGGAATGTACCCGAGATCTCATGGTCAGGGCAAAAACTGGTACAGGCAAAACGCTGGCATTCCTTGTGCCCGCTATTGAGTCACGTGTCAAGGCAATTGACGAGGCACGCGAGGAAGCGGTTGCTCGCGCAGGAAAGGCTGCAGATAAAAGGCTAGAGGAAATCGCAAAACGGGAGTTCACCAATAATCACGTCGGCGCACTCATTCTAAGCCCAACGCGCGAGCTTGCAAAACAGATCGCGGTGGAAGCGGAGAAACTTTCCGCCCACCACGGTTTCAAGGTTCATCAGTTTCTTGGAGGGGAGAGTAAGTCAAGGCAAATGCGCGAATGGACGAGAAATCGAAAGGACATTGTCGTTGCCACGACAGGCCGACTTCGTGACCTAATGGATTCGGAATCTGGTCTTTTAGACGGAATTCGAACGGCGAAACTGGTAGGTGTTATGGTATGCATTCACACCTGCTGCTAATAATATGAAATTTGCAGCTTATCCTTGACGAAGCCGACACCATGTTGGACATGGGATTCCGGGAGGACATTGAAGCAATCGCTCAGGAACTTCCTCAGGCTCCTGAACGTCAGACATTCGTCTTCTCAGCAACGATCAGTAAAGCTATTCAACAGATTGCTCGTCGTACACTGAGCAAGAACCATATGTTTATTAACACGGTGTCGGATGAGGACTCCCCAGTGCACGCTCATGTCCCGCAGTATCATACTGTTTTATCTTCCGCAGCCGATCAGCTGCCACACACGCTCCGCTTAATCGCTCATGATCAGCTTACGAACCCTGGAAAATCCAAAATTATCCTGTTCTTGCCAACAACGAAGCTGACGCAATTGTTCTCTACCCTTCTTCGCGAACTCACACGTTCGGTACTGCCAGCTGGTAGGGAAACGACGATTTACGAGCTTCACTCAAAGAAGAGTATGGAGTCGCGTACCAGGACGTCTGACCGTTTCCGGAATGACAAGTCTGGCGCATGTGTTCTCATTACTTCCGACGTATCGGCCCGCGGTGTAGATTATCCTGGAGTCACTCGTGTCATCCAGCTCTGTATCCCTGCATCTCCAGACCAGTACGTGCATCGAGTTGGACGCACTGGACGAACAGGTGGTGGTTCTCAGGGACGCGGAGACCTCGTCCTCTTACCTTTTGAACATAGTTACGTCCAGGGAGAGCTCAACCATGTTCCTCTGAAACCCGTCACTACTAATGACCTTGCGAAGCAAGTTTCTGAGATGGCCGCCCAGCACGATGAAGACCCGAAGGCCTTCTTCCCTCCTGCACTTGAAACGAAACCCAAATCCGCCTTTGAGCGAGGCCGCGGTAGGTCTGGAGAACGCGAGCGGGCGCCTCTTACTCGTTATCCAGGCCGTGTCGCTCCTAGGCTCGAAGCCTTAAATGAAGAGATCCAGCAGGTCTTATCGCTGGCAGAGGAAGAAGACATCAAAGAGACGTTTGCGTCCATGCTGGGCTTTTACGTTGCAAGATGTGATGAGTTGCGTGCACCTCGTAATGCTGTACTTGACGGCCTACGCGACTGGTCAACACAGGGAGTTGGACTTGAAAAGCCGCCTTATGTCTCAGAAGCTTTCCTCGCGAAGATCGGCTTCGCGGGCGAAAGGAAGTATGAACAACGCAGCGGTGGTAGTAGACAACGATCATCGTCATTCGGGTTAAGGAAGGATAGGGATAGGAAGGACTCGGACCGCAGGACAAATCGATGGGAAGGACGCGGAAGCAATGAGGCGCGCAGACGTCGTACCAACGACTCAGGGGAGTATAGAGATGGCAGAGAAAGCCGATACTCTGTTCGTGAGTCACGGAATGAATGGCCCCCTCGCCGCAACTTCGACGAAGGGAGGAAAGACGCACGAGATGGTGGGGACCGAGGGAGGCGACCGAGCTGGGATAACGTCCTCAAGGATGATTAGCTGTATCCCTACTCACGATTGACTACGCTTACTAGGCATCGCATAATTCAGCATAGAATATGTTTCTTCGTATTTATTCTCTTCAACGGTTTTTACATCTCATAGCCTCACTCATCATGTCGTTCATCAATACATGGCTCTTGCAGCACTGATATATGGGCATTCATAATCATACTAAGTCTATACCCAACTGCCAAAGTAAGGTATTGGACCTGCAGTCAGATGTGTCGTAATGCGAAGAGTGATAATCCATGAATAAATTTCTCCTGGACCAAAGCAGTCCTGTACCTCAAACTGTAACGTCATAATGCAAAACCAATAGCATATCCAAGAATTGTGCTTGATGGCGTATTCTACTGTACTCCAGATCTTCGTAATGAATCCTGACTTTGCCATCGGTAAAACACAAAATGATTTGAACAAGATAGGGAAGAAAAAAAGAATAATGGACGATACGTGGATCGAACACGTGACCTTTCGCATGCATTATCTTCCTCATGCCCTATGCAAAGCGAATGTGATAGCCACTACACCAATCGCCCATAACCTTTACCTGCTTGATAAACTATTAACCTCATTATTTAATCAGTATCTTACATATAAGACTCAACCTCTGAATTGAAACTGCACCTATGAATCTAACAAAGAAAATATCGGTTTAAAGGAGATTTGCCTCATTATTATTCACTCTACTCAGCCAAGATTAAGAATTAGGTTTTATTGAGTTCTTTATAGAGGTACAGAGAAAGGTATGACAGGAATGACTTCAACAATTGTCTGAATGTGTGAAGATGGCACAGACTAATGTCTGTCTGAGTTTTATTATATTATGCAAAGAGAAAGTGTAAATGTAAATTTAAATTTTTCCTATTCCTTTTCCACAGCAAAGTAGTTAGTATCGAGTACAAAGTCAATGCAAATCAATGCAAGAAACTTGTCAATACAGAGCCGTTTACCATCCAGAATACGATTTTTACAAGATGTCAGGAGAAAAAGACAGGAAAGCATGTCTGTAGTTTGCATAAGAGCATAGTATAAGTGAAAGATATGCAGGAGCCATAGAAAAAGTACAGTAAGTCTAAGCCAGAAGCAATAGGCCTTGAGGAAGGAGTGGATGTTTCGAGTAAGTAGAATCTAGCCAAGTAAACAAATTATATATACACAAAAAATCAGGAGGGTAGCAGGTCAGGACAGGGCGGGCGTTACGCCAGGACTAGGGAGCGGAAAGACAAGGATAAAAGGGCTCGACAAGGATATACAGCAACACGAAAGCCAAAAAAATGCTGGAGAAATTACGATTATCCCACAGACGAGAGAAGAAAGAACAAAAGGCGCCAAGCAAGGACTGGTACTAAAAACCTGTGAACATGGTATAGGGGAACCAAATGCAATACAAGAGACTAAAAAGGTCACTGAAGTTAAATATTAGCAGACGAATGGATAACCGTATGATGAGAATATGTCGGCTGAGTGGATTGGCATTGGCCGAGGCATAAGTTATGGTACTGAACCTTGACAATTGGATGATTAACCAAGGATGAATGCAGAGACATGTACAGATGGAGACGAATGCGAGAGTAAGTGCGATGGTACAATGAATGCGAAATCGGATATAGAAAACACAAGCAGCAAGAAACAATAAGAACCGGACGATGAGAGATGAAGGAGACAAGCTAGATAGAACACGCTGTAGGAGGGAAAGACGATTCAAGAAGCAGCATCGGGTCCACGATTCGGCGAATAAGTTTGTATGTGGCCATTGACTACTGGTCTGGAGTTTGGGGTTGAGGCCGAGGAAGAGCCGACCTCGGAGTGCGTTACGCCAGACTGGAAGGTAACTAGTCTGGCACCGCGCTGGTTTATGCTCGTTTTTGGAGTTGATGTGCCAGACCCACTTCCCGAGTGCGTTGATCCAGCTGGAGTATGTGGTTGGGCATTATGAGCCTGCTCTTGTTTCTGAGACGAACTAGCAAGCAAGATGTCCTGCTCTCCAGCTGGATATCGCAAGAACAGAATCCCATCCTGCATCGAGACTCGTATATCTTCGGGCTTTAAAAGAGGCCAACAGAAGTCGAATGTCAGCATAAGAGCATCCAGAAGAATATTGTTGATCCAGACAGATAAATAGAGAAAGGATGATACTAACCTTAGTCTCCGTTGGTACGACCAACACCCTCTTAAACTCTCCGCATTTCCGCTCCTTAACCACATAACCGTTGTCCTCACTTCCCTCCGCTCCATCTACAATTTTATTCCCATCCTTGTTAAGCAAAGGAAATGTAACTCTCCGCATTCGCCCACGAACGATAAGCATCTTCGTTCCAGAGCGTACGTCATCACCTAGTGCAATGCGTATCGCTGCACGCGGAACACCAGGAAGCTCGAGCATGGCGGTAAGGGTGTTGCTCAATATGTCATAGTGTACGTCTGTACGGACAAGATATCGGGGAACGGGTGCTTGAGGGGATGTTGAAGTAGGTACGTTCAATGTCGATCGAGTCGTGGACACCGGAGATTGTGAAGGGACAGATGCAGACGGGCTTCATTTCAAAGGAAACGAAGGAAGGATGTATGTATTGAAGTAAGCGGCCGACCTAGGATGTAGGGCAACAACGACGCACCTGGATACATGACCTGGTGCAGCCATATCCGATTGCGCAACGGTGCCTACTGCAGCAGGACCAGAGACGGTTCTCCGCTGATTCTGGCGTGGATTTGCGTAAGGATGTGCTGCCTGTCGTGCCTTTTGCAATTTTGATACGTTGTTATTGGCTTTTGATCCTGCACTCGAAACAGCACCCGCTCCCGCTCCAACACGTGAATGCGAGGCAGCGAGTGCATGCATATCATACCATTGAGTAGGAGAAGGGGCAGTCGTAACAAGTTGCGCCTGGTTTTGAGCTTGATTTTGTTCAACGGGAGAGGTGCTTGAGGAACCTTGCAATGATACTTGAAGTCGCTCCTTACGCTGTCCTTGCGCTTTCACTTGTCCTTGCGCACTCTGCTGACGCGCTTGCGCCCTCGGACGTCGTGGCGGACGTTCAACAAGCTGAATAACTTGCGGTGGCTGGTATTGTTGCGCTTGCATCTGAGTCTGGACTTGCATTTGAGTTTGAGTTTGACTCTCATGCGTCGTCTCGCCCTTTTCCAGTTCAGTCGGCGTCGCAAAGGGAGTTGCCATATCCCCGATGGTTGAAGCAGGTGTTGCAGCACTCATTGAGGTCGTAGACGTTGGTGTCGGCGCCTCTCCGCTCGTGTTGTTCGCACTTGCATGATGAGCCTCTGCCATCTCAAGAGTCGTGATCGGCGGTATCAGACTTTGGGCATCGCGTCGAGAGATCCCAAACGCCGCCGCCATAGCCTCCAGAAATTGTGCGTCCTCGCAGGCTTGTACTGGCGTCCCGAGCGGCGTTCCACGAGGCGCGTCCCAAGGCGAGGGTGGAGGTGGCGCGACAAAGTCCAACGCAGGTGTTTGCGCTTGAGGAAGAACTTGTAACTGACCTTGCTGAGTTGCAGAAAGGAGACCTCCTTCCTGCGCTTCTTGTGCTTGACCTTGACCTTGTGCTTGCCCTTGCCCTTGCCCTTGCTGTTCCGGCTGCTGTAGTTGATGTTGCGTTTGAAGTTGGGCGGATCGGAGTTGCTGTTGCTGCAGCTCACAGTATTGTTGGTAGTCCATTGCTGATGATATCTTGATCTTATTAACACCGCGGTGAGAGCGCGGATGAGCGCATAATCGCTATACACAGACACAGAAAAAAAATATGGTCAACATCAAAGTGAGCGGAGAGAGAAAAGGCGGCTTTATATACCCTTTCGAGTCATCGCACGCTCACGCGTCGCAGCCGGTCTCGTGCGCCGTGACGTCACGCGTGGTGGGCGTCTTATTTTTTAATCTTGTGGCCCACCACCTCGACATCGTCGTTAATCTGCTGGAAATCAATGAACGGGAACGTCTTTATGTCTGAATATTTTAGCAGGCTTTATCACGTATTTTTGAGAGAAATATATGCTTGATAGGTGCAGAGGCGTTACAGTCGGTCGACGAAAAGAGAGTCAGGGCCCTGGACAGCCGCGCGGTGTACTTGCCCCAATTGGAGCCGCGAGAAGCACGAAGATCAGGGTCCACATGTGTTCAGCCCCAGCACGTGTATCTATTGTCCCTTTATTTAGCACTGGACAAAGAGCAACCAGAGCACGAACGGTAGGTCTGTGCTGTACACCTATCGTCAAGCGCTTGGAGAGAAAAATAGTATACATGTCCGAAAGCCAAAAAGCGAGATATATTAGCATGAGATGAAGATGCATGGTTACTGGCATGAAACACGATGGCGCAAGAGATCCTTCTTGGCTGTCCTATTGCCAAATATTTGGCCAGCTACTTGTCTGAGTCGCTCTGACAGTCCATGAGTGTCCATCTACCCAGTCGCGCAGCATCGTGCCCAACTGCGCGAGTCAAGGGAAGCACTCGTTACTCGCGCGTCTCATCCAGCGAAGGCACGAAGGCGCCTGTCCCATGTTCCGTATTCCCACTGGGCTGTGATGCCGTGCTCCCCGCCCGACTCCTCACCAGACTCCCTGTTTCCGCAATCCGCGCCCCACGTTCCACACTCGTCCTCCTGCTTCCCTGGCTGTACCGTCTTTCATGTGGAAAGCCAATTCCCCCTCCTCCTGATCCAGACCCAGATCCAGAATGTGAATGTCCGGGAGATGGCATATGCGTCATAACAACTGGCGAACCCAATGAACTCGACAAACTAGGTGGTGGGACACTCGGATAACTCAACCCCACGACTGCTGAGCTCGCACCCGGTGTACCGTAAGGTGCAGGTGGTGTGTCTCTTAGTGATGCACTACTCGGCGGAGTCGTCAAGTTTGTTGCCCCGCTTGCATAACTTGCAGGTAGTGCACTCAATACTGGAGACAAGTCAAGGTAAGGCGAGGGAACAGGGGAAGGAGAGTCAATGGACGAGGCTGATGTCGGACTTTCTGGAATGGAAGCAGGTGTAACCACAGCATGTGCGCGGCGAGAATTACTCGTAGCTGAGGGACGCGGAATCGGAACACTGTGTGTGGTAGAAGAAGGACGAGCTTGCATGGTTGGGAGAGCAACCATGGATGCTGTTGGAGAGCTGGAGGATGTTGAAGCTGTAGAAGATCCCCGTCGATGCGTTGGTTGTGAATACGGATCCGAAGCACTAGAAAGACCTATTAGATTATCCACAGAAATGCCCAACTATACTCAAAATCCAAACAATTAGTCAATAAGCGCCAATAACACAATCATGTATACGCACCCGCCGCCGATGCTGAATCAATTCCTCCCTATACACCTCATTCAACCTCGTCAACCGCACATAATCCCTCTCCACAGCCCCCAACCGCGATCGCAAATTCTCATTCTCCTTCTTCAGTGCGTTCAGCAAAACCTCCGCACTCGGATCCGGTGGGCCCAATCCATTCACCGCTAATGTGCCGTTACCAATACCAGCAGGTATCGTAGATATCCCCGAAGATGAGCCGGCAACACTCCCATCCTCCGCATACGTCCCATTCGCCTGAGGCTGAGATTGCGACTGCTGAGCCCGATGCTGTCGGACACGAAGCACAGCAAGTTCCCTTGCAAGCCGGTTCACCCGTGCCTCCTCCTCTTCCTCATGTAGCCGCTCGAGACTTATCTTTTCCTCCCGGAGCTGTATTTGACATGTCCGAAATGAGTTTGTAGTGCATATGTTGTCCCGTTGTCATCCAACATATTGCAGCCGTAGCCACAATTATTTATCCATGACAGGACAGCAACCGACATCCCAGCGCCCAAGGCACAAAGCACGCAATCCAAGATGCATCGATAGAAAGCAGAGTTCACGCATTCAGACCACCCAGAAGTTCAATGTCATTGAAGTAAGGTTTCAAAGACAATTTCGTCAGTAAACCATCTCTTGCGCCTTGTTTCATAAACGCCCAAGACGTACCTGCTCAAGTTTCCTCGAAAGCACATTAATAATCCTTTCCTCCTCCGCCTCGAAGGCATTAATGAGCCTTTCCTCCCTCTCCCTCTCCCTCCTGCTCGATGGGCTAATTGAGGGTGGGGGAAGTCGGCCATAAGGCGGCGAGCGGGGACGAGAAAGGGCAGGTGAGATCGATACGGAGCTCATGATAGGCGGGGCTGATCAAACTGTATTGTATTATTGGCGAGAATAAAGTTAGTCGAGTGAAGGCTGGTTTTACGGTAGTGGTGAGGGTACAAGAGAGAGGGAAGGGGGAACGGGGTGAATGGTGGCCAATACAGTAACACTCAGAGAACTGCTGACTCGCTGCAAACAAACGATCTGCGCTATCCGGTCTAGCTCATTATGTAATATCATATTAACATATGCACCCTCGATGACGTTATCAAGTCTATTTCGAAAATAATAATTACCGTATGAATCAAGAGGAAAATAGTCGCGACTGCAATGATAAAAAGGTATACGCAAATAACTAACACTAGCTAGTAGCAGAACTGGCACATACGAACGAAACAACACCGCTCAATCACGAAACATGCCCTCTCAGAGGACTTTTTGGTATGTAAATTAGAAATCATACCCTTCGACCTGGAAGACCTGTCCGTAGTTTAGATAACCCTCCATCACCTTCATAATCGGATCGGGCAAGCCCATGCTCAGCAACGTATACGAGATCTTCCCGTGTCCGTGGATTCGTCCGAGTTTGAACAATTGATGGGCGATCGTCGTCGGATACTACATGCAAGTTGCGGATAAATAAATGGAGATAACAATAGAGAAGAAAAGCCACGCACCGAAGACTCTGCATATTCGTTATGTGCGTACGCAGCGACTCGAATCGCCGTCTGCAACGTCCTTGTCAAATCTCCTTCCTCCGCATACATCTCCATTAGCCTCAACCATGGCTTCACAGAGTACCGATTGCTTTCCAAACATCTCTGGAAACACTCTTTCGCCTCTTCACGATGATGCAGCCTTGATCCAAGCTCGCCCAGAATCTCCCATTCCAATCCGGTCTTTCGATATGCAACATGCTGCGTTTTGAAATGCGCAACCTCAGCACGGAAGATAGTCCAGATCCGGAGGTCTTCGTAAAGCACCATGAAGAGGTTGTCTAACCAACGTTCGCAGAGTCGTTTGTTGCTGAAGGAGAAGCCATCTTGCATACTCCCAGAGCCGCTAACAGCCGTCATACTTGAAGCAACATCGCCGTCGGCGTCGTTGTTTTCGCCGCTTGCAGCTTGTACCGGTCGTTCAACACTCGACCCTGCTGCATGGCCAGCTTGGCCATTACTCTGTTCCTTCTTCTCCGCACCATTCATTTCTCGCATTGACTCGTGCTCACGCTCACGGTCCGACTCTGTCGAGATCTTGATCATTGGAATTTCGCCCACGTTCAAGTCCGATTTCGCCTGTCCCTCCGTCGTGGCTGGCGCATCTCCATCCACACTCGCCTCATCATTCCCTTCTTCATCGTCCTCAGAGGCCGGTGATACAACTCCGCGAGTCGACGCATCGTCGTCTGCTCCGAGCTTAGAAGACGAAGGAGCAACCGTCCCGTCCTCATGTATAACTGTCTCCTTCCCAGTTTCCTCCTTCGTCACAACCCTCATATCCGACTGCGCCTTCTGCATTCGATACTCTTCCTCCATCACGAACACGGCACTGCGCGTCTTCAACAACTCGTCCCATCCGATCTTCGATACGAGCTTCGTTAACAATGCATAGGCACGTGCCCATGTACCCTTCAACCCCGGCGCAGGAAGTCGTTGCAAGGCAGTATCTGCCTCGTCATCTTCCGTCTTGTGTCGCTCGGGCAGGATGTCAGCGATTGCAGGCTTATAGGGCAGGTTTATCCGCGCCGGAGTGATGTTTCGATGAGCATCTCGCCCATTGTAGGTGAACATTGGACATGAGTTCAATGTTAGTAATGCCTATTTGAAACCAATCAATCAGTTTCTCCGTGGAAGTGCCAGGTATACGTACTGAATCATACTGCCCAAGCTCTGTATAGATCATGGTGAGTTTCTCCCAAGTTACAAACTCGCTTGGTGCGCAATTCACTGCCTGCCTGGCAAGCTTGAGCGCCCAGTCGTATTTACCCTTTGATCGTAGAAAGTCACATTGAGCATGTAAAAGAGTGTATGACTGAGGGTTGTCACGGAGTGCGTTTGCCATGATCTGTACTGCCTTCACCTCCTCATCTAGACGATTCATATTCAGTATGATGCACGAAAACGACAGATGAAGAACGCAACATACTCATACCGATGTAGCTCTTGGCTAGTAGCGACGAAACCTCTGGTTCATGAACAGAAACTTTCTCGAACAAGTTCGCGGCCTGCTGAAGTCGGAAGCTGTCCCCGAAATACTTCATGATGCCTGCTGTTAAGTGATTCGAAACGACACTGGCAACCTGGATCTCAGGATCCGATCCAACTTGCCAACCTAGATACACGAGTCAACACACTGATCTTTCAGGAAACTGCGTGCAACTGAGGCAACTTCCGTACCTTGAGCAAACAAAGCTTCAGCAGCCTCTAAGAACCGAATTTCTCCTTCTCGTGTTGTGAGAGGGTCTAGTCGCCGATATGCTTCTAACCAGAACGTCGGATCATCTCCATAGAGAATTGCACGAAGTAGGGCGGAGAGATAGGTCTCTTGCCATATCTCAGGAGTCGTGTCGTGTCTGTACAGTCACCATGGTCAGTATTCTTTGTCTGTAGATTACGCCTAGAGGCAAGGTCGGAAAGATACTGTACCTTTCTCCACGCAGGTCTATCACGTATGCCAGCACTCCTCCTGGGATCTTGACATCCACACGGACGTCCACACGCGAGAAAGCATTGAAGCAGCTAGAATTCCACGAGAATCCCCATGAAAGTGTAAGATAGTGACATTCAAGGGCACAGAGATGGAGAGGGAAACGCACCAGTAGCACCCACTCCTAACCTTCCAAGCTGTACTCTTCGAGAACCAGGTCGAGTTATCGTCAATCGAGTATGTCAACGAGTTAATATACGCCGCAAGAGAAGCAGACGAGGAAGCGTCGACGCCAGAGACGTAATGGTATGAACCGAGCTACGATAGACAGCATCAATAAACATTGCAATTGAGATGTTGTTGAGGAAAGACGAACATCTTTCTGCCCACTTCTTCCCGTAGATTTGACGACGTGACATAAATCTGGAGGACCTAGTTCACGAAAGGTAGCTTCATATTGTCATGTAATGAGAGGTCTGCTTGAGTATGACGAGACGTGTCGAGTACACACCTAGCGTTTCTGTACGCGCCATAAGGACCTCGCCGAGCTCATTCTGTTGCGCTATCAGCACACGCCGAATAGGAATAAGATAGTACGAACCTCGAAGAGCTCTGGGACGTCCTTGAAGGCGGCGTCGGCCATGATGGATTACAGTTAGCAGCTAAGGAGCTGGTCGGTTGCAGGCAAGTAACAAGTTACAAGACGCGCCCCGTGGGAACCACGTCACTCCTTTCATATTCAATTTCACCAGAAATTTATTTTTATTACTCGGTACAGGAAATGCACTACGGCAATTGCCAAGGCCAAAGAAAATAATTGCAACTCTATGTAATAGTCTATCATGAAAGCCATACAATGCAAGAAATGCATGATTGTTCTCTGAATCTCTCTAAACAGTCAAATTTTGACCCTACTTTTCACGCTTTGCAGGGACAAACAACCATCCAAGAGCAATAAGTACCCGAATGCCCGTCCCAACTCCAAACGCACCCGCACTCCCAATCTGGTCCAGAATCGCCCTCCCGACGAACCCACCGACGAACAACGCGAAGACAGCAATGAATTTGTGATCGCGCGTAATGACGAAACCTTTCCGGAAGAGCTTCGGGTCGGAGAGGAGCTCGCACCAGACGGTGGTGAGCACGACGGTCGTAGCGAACTGCGAGTTAACACGCTTGCCCATGATGCCTTGTAACCCTATACTGGCACTTGCGAATCCGAGAGCGATGAAGGAGAGTGCGTTCGTCCATGCGGGTTCGCCACGGAAGCCTGCAATGGAGCCCTGCCCGCCTTGCCAGACTGTGATGGCTGCGGCCATGGTGAAGAGAGCCTGGATGAAGGTCCCGAGGAACAGCCAGGCGCGGGTGTTGGACCCCATTTTGTCACCTATGCGTCCTAGGGAGGCGCCTCCGAGGAAAGTGACCAATGAGACGAGAGCTTGACGGTCAGCCATTTGGAATTGGAAGTCGGTGTTTCCTGGAGAGAATAACCTGGCGAGTGCGAGTGCAAGCTAAGGTAATCGGTTTGACGATGAGCATAATGTAAACGAACAAATGCAAGACATACCTGGACTGTGTTACCAGTCTGGAAGCCACACCAGACAAAGACAGCAGTGAACGAAATGGAGTCACTGAAACGTACACAATCTCATGAGCTACTAAACTACGAAATATGATTGAATTAATATGCGTACATAAAACCAGTCATGAAGCAGAATGCAGCGAGAGGGGAGGTGGACTGGAGCGGGTCGACATTTTGCATGAGATAATCTTTCCATGGCATTCGGGCCCGCTGGACCTCCTTACTAGTGCTTGCGACGGCGGGCTCTGGGAGGGTTGACGCCCTCGAGGAGGTGTCTGGCTTTGTGTCGGCGTTGTTCATGGGCGACTGAGAGGCTGGAGGAGAGAGGGGGAGCGGAATGCTAGCTAGGGGACTGGGGAGCGAGTGGACATGGATTTATGTGTGAGAGGCTGGTTCCGTTGTCCGGACACTCGCTCTATCGCCGCTCAGCACTTCATTTCTTGTCACTATTCCTTGGCCATCCGCTAAGGCGAGTAAGAACTATTGCTTTTCATTACTGTCTGTTGGTCTTCCATGTACCTGCTAGATTGCCACTTTCACCCAATTTTTTGCACTTTAATTATGAATTTTCCGTGAGTATCCCACATTCTCGGCGGATGACACAAGCCGGATGCAGACGGAACGCCGCTCTGTCTTGGCCTGTTCCTCGTCCAGACCGACACTCGTCCCGCTCAAACGGCGAGACAAGCACTCGGCCTTGATGGACAAGTCTCTTCTATACCACACATGCCATACATGTACATCACATTGCAGAGTAGAGAAATACACTCAGACAACACAATAAATCTACAGCCGTGAGTCCCGAGGTTCTGTAAAAATATGATGTTCAGTCCACACAGAAAAAGAGTTCACAAGAAAGAACAACTTACGCGGCTTTGCCCATTGGACATTCAAAATCAGGCTATCGTAGCCCCATCCGTGCATTTTACCCATCGCAACCTCCGCAACAGCTCGGTCCTCAAAGCTGACAAACGCGAAGCCCTTGCTTTGCCCCGTCTCACGATCTTTTCCGACAAACACGCGCACAACACGTCCGAACACGCTGAACAATTCCCGCAGGTCCTGGTCTGTCGTGTCGTCCGACACATTCGTCACACGCAACGTCGGCAGGTCATCCCGAGAGCCCCCAATCCGGCCCATCGCCTCGCCTCGCCCGGCGGCACCAGCGCGCATCGAAGGAGGCACGTATTTTCCACCCGTAGGCGCGGCAGGGGCGGGGACTTCTTCGTCTCCAGGTGGAGTTTCTGTGCGTGGCGTTAGCGAATTCAAGTCTGTTACACCTCGATACGACAAGAGAAACGTACCCAATCCAGCTGGGGATACAGCCTCAAGGCCTGCGAAGGAGTCCTTGAGAGGACATCTCGCCGTAAAGTGATCCCGCTTGCATATTCGACAGCGTACAGCTCCAGCGCCCGCCTTTGCAAGGCTCGCTCTAATGTTCTCCTCAGGTGTCGGCTCGGGTTCGGATGACTGCAGTAAATGCGATGAGCGTCTGCTATACAAGCGAAGTGTGAATGCAGCAGCGTACCTTGTTGCCAGCGCTAATTTTCAATACGACGTTCTCCCCAACAGTAGTCGTCGCTCGATCGGGCCCAGGTTTATTTCCCTTCTCCTGTCCAAACTTTGCCCAGTTCTTGCGTTCTGCGACGGCATGCTGTACCACCGTCTTCTGCACTGTACGCCTTATTCGTTTTGTTATCTTGAGTTACACAGCTCTATATGAGGCACAGCATCAACGGCGCTGTAATCCAAATACACGCACTTTTACTTTCTTGCCCTCGTCGTTGACAGAGTACTCGACGACGGTGATGATGCCATTTTCGTCGACAGATTCCTCAGGTTTTGGGAGGCGCGGATGTTCTGTGCGAGGAGAAATGAGATCGAGCAATGATTTGTAGAAGGGATGCTGTAAGCGCACCAAGTTCGTCGACTTCGTCGGCCCACAAAATTTTTTGAGCTCTGCAGTGCGGATGAGCATAACCCTAAGCCAAAGAGGATACAGTTTGCATACGTTTTCGCGGCCATAAATTTGTACAGTGCTTCACTTCGAAATGGAGTAGAAGGTAGACTAATCGACTGCTCGAGTCCAATACACAGCAGTGACACGCTGAGTCATGCGTGACCACGACAAAACGCATACAGTAACAGAGGGTACGTGCTTTGCCAGTGCCACCCACAACATGCCCCTCTTCGACCTGCCAGAGGAGATCCTGCTGATCATCCTCTCATCCCTCGGGGCCCGTGATCTTCTCACGTTCGCCGCTGTAAACCGCTGCGCAAAAAGGTTCTTCGAATCCTCGACCCGTCTCCAGTACATCGCCCAACTAGACGCCGCAGGATGCATTGATCTGTCTCTCGATGCCCCCTACAAATCCAAATACACAAACGACGGCGACGGCGACGGCGACGACAACGCTACAGAACCTGCATTGCCTATAGCTCTCCGTCTGGAATACTTGAGGATGCGCGAGGACCGCTGGCGCCAGCTCGACCTCCGCAAGAACGCCAGGCATCTTGATCTTCCTTGCCCGGCCCAGGTCAGCATATACGATCTGTCTGCAGGCGTCTTCGCATACGGAGAATTCGGTCAAGAGAAAATCGCTCACACGCTAGACCTGCGAGAGGTCTCCCGTCGAGGTGAGGGCATCGTGCTGGAGGACAGCGTCAATCGGTTGCCAGACGGTGCACTAGTGGAACTGCCACACTCGGACGTTCGTTGGGAGACCTTCATCTTTGATGGTGACAATGGTGACATTGCGGACTTTAGCCTCGCTCTCAAGGAGTACGACCTTTTCGTGCTCGTTAGTTATTCTATAAAAAGCTATGATGCAGATTCCGCTAATGCAGAAGAGTGAGTTTGCATTTTCTTCCGTTTATCGCGCTCTTTACACGAAAATTCATAATCAATTCCATGCGACGAGCTTCAAATGCATTGATTATCACCATCCGTATAAAGAGCGGAAGTCCCTGAAGTACTACCCTTAACTGACCTATCACACCCAGTATGCAAGTAATAAAAGCCAATTTGTATCAGTTTTCAAGCAAGTCGCTACATCCATTAGCAAAGGAACCAATATTGCCAATCGCAGAAAAACCGGCATCTTACCGTCGACCCTCCCCAATCATGGAGGTTGCAGGAAAGTATCTCATTATTATGCTGACTTTTCCTAGAGCTGTTGTTCGTAATGTCGTCGAGGACCTGTACGTCTTTAACTGGCAAACAGGGAAACTTATCCACGTACGTCTTGTATATTCCCTTTCAATACCCTATACCAATCTGAGCGTCTTTTTCATGTTAGCATCAGGAATACGATGATGAAACTTATTGTAGTCTAGCCTTTGTCACACCATCCCTCTTTGTTATGCCGAATATGGAAGACAGCTCGCTTGACCTTATCCACATATTCCCAGCACCAGACGGTTCTGAAAGGGTGTGTTGGCTACGAAGACTTCAACTACCGGATCTCGTCGAAGGATTCCACCTACGTAGTGCGTCATGTCGCAGCGATCCAAATCCTACCTCATCGACCCCAGATCCACTGAACCCGGGAGGATGTACTCCGACTGAAGATCCTGGTGGAGGCAACGTACGAAGAAAATCGTGGGGTGCAGCTCGACATGGGATCTCTGCTGACCCACTCCGCGCGATTATATCCTTCAACTTTATCGTTATGAACGAAGATACTCATGGTATGCCCTTTGGCCCCTCGGCGAACCTTATCGTGCATCGTTCGACGCTTGCGCGGCTCGCGCTGGAAGTCTTTGAGGAGCGCAAGGCCGCTGCATTGAGTGGGTGGTGTCCTGAAGTAGGCGAAGATGCTGTCCCTGTCGTGAGGTGGGAGGACTGGGGGCCGAACGTGACCCGTTGGCGACTTGAGGACGACGCGGTGGAATGGGTAACGACTACTGCGGGACAGCGGCAAGTCTTCGCTGGGCTTTCTCAGACGAATCCCTGGCGCCCTACCATCGTTGTTAGGGATTTTAATCCGTACGAGGTGAGGAAGGCTATGGCGAAGGGGGTGGGTGTGCATGTTGATAGCAGACATGGGGAACTGGAGGAAGACTCTGAAGACGAAGATGTAGACTTGTCTGAACCTGGAGAACCTGATGAGGCGATGGATAGGGATGTATTCGAGGTGTCTGCTTCGGCTGAAATGGCGGAAGTGGAAGGCGCCGGTCCATCAATCGATGCAGAAGATTACTATGTGGATCAGGGACTGGGTCAGGCGGAAATTCAGGCTACTGCAGGACATGTAGAAGCGTCTCAAAATGCTCGCGAAGACACCGACGAGAGCACTACAGACGATGAGGACTCCCCAGATGTGATACCATTTCCGGATATTGGGGACCCACTAGTCGATCCCGTCACTCCAGACGAACTGTCTTTAGATTGGCAAGAAACCCCTCCCATGCACGTGCCTTTCCACCCTAATAATAATCCTATTGCTACCCCTGCACCATTCCCAAGCGTGATCAACGACGACAACAACACCTATCTTCGGCGGACGTCTGTCCGCGTACGGGACAAGACGCCAAAAGTCTTCAGGCAATACTTCAGGAAAGGGGAGGTGACGGGCGAGTTACCTTGTGTTGAATATACGATTGAAGGAGATGACAGTTTGTATACTGGTTTGTTAATGGATGAAGAGAGGATAATTGGGTATTTAGTGAGTATCTTTAGTTTTTAATCCATGAATGAAGTGATTTTTTTTTCTTCTTAACTTTGTGCGTGACTTGTTGCAGGAAGCGGGAGACAACCCACTTTGGGTTGATAAGATGAAGTCGATGGCCATTTTCTCGATGTATCCTTAGGCTTAAGATCGTTGTTTCTTCTTTAAACTGTTATTTATGTGAAACAAAAACAAGTTGCGAAAATGTGTTTCATAGATTGTTTATTTTCCTGTTCCCTATTACGCCACTCTTGTATTTTTGGGTTTTAATAAACGTCTTTCTTGATTACTTTCAATACCCATACGAGCATGTTTCCTGCTACTTAATCAAAAATCAAACTTCATATCGCTGTGCATTCGCGTTCGAGCCATGCCAAGGCACGAGTATCGTTCGCAAGCAGTGGGCTGAGTTTCTGGCAGATTTCCTCGTGGTATTTGTTGACCCATGTGCGTTCTGCTGGTGTGAGTAGTTCTTGTGCGATTAGTTTCGTCTGGATGGGGCACTGTGAAAGGAAAGAGCGGAATCAACATGCATTCGATAAGGCTGATGTAGAGAAGGAAGAAAAGGGGCGGGAGACGAGATGAGTGAAACTAGGGAGGAATGGGGGTAGGGAGGAAGGGAAACGTACCATTGTGACGTTCTCGAAGCATAGATATCCCTTGGACCCGAAGTCGTTTGGTGTCTTTGCCTCGCGTACTATGAGTACGTTCTCAGTGCGGATGCCGAAGTGACCGTCTTCGTAGTATCCAGGTTCTGTCAAATGGTGCATACGTTTAAGCATTTGGTGCATGATCAATTCAATAGTGCGAAATGCTGTACCGTTAGTGACGATCATACCAGCCTTAAGTGGAGTGTTGTTGTACGCTGTTTTGCGTCGCAATTTCAGTAAAGAGTATTGTGGGCTGCGTTAAGGAATATGAGCGAAGCAGACAGACCTATGCGCACGCCGATTCCGTGTGGACCTTCGTGTACGTTTAGGAAGTGTCCGACGCCGTGTCCTGTGCCATGCCTTAATGCGGCAAGTCAAGAATATAGTTCTTTTCTATGGGAAGAGGTCGTATACCTGTAGTCTTATGAAATGGAAACAACAAAGCGTTAGTTTGAACGAAGTACTATGTTTCAAAGGACATAATACTTACCAAGCCCGTCTTGCCATAATGGTCTCCGTGCCATCGCATCGCTAGGAAGATTTGCTTAGAAGGCAAGCCATAACAGGAAACTGGTTTGGCTTTACATGATGAATCCTACCGATTTGACATTAGTTCATTTAGATGAGATGGCTGTGGGATATCGATGCTCACCTGTAGTACCATTCGGGAAGACTAGGGTGTCAAGTGCAATGTGACCTTGCAGAACGCGCGTGTATGCCCTCTTTTCTTCGTCGGTAGGAGTTCCGAAGTGCTGGTGTAAGTCGGGTGAGGACGATCAGATGCGAGAAGCGCATAACGATTGGTTAGACCTACCCATGTCCTCGTTACGTCCGTCGTGCCGTCAAGAAACTGGGCTGATGCACGGTATTTAGTAACACGAGATTATCGGAACAAGACGTCGCTTACCTCCTGAATCACACAAATATACCTAATCACATGTCAGTAATAAGGACGTATAATAACGTAAATGTGACTAACCTGATCTTTCCTGACTGCCGAGCAAGTATCCCGTTCCGGCAGGTAATGGATGACGGCTTCGATGGGTATAAGGACTACGAAAGGCAAGAGGAGCAATACACGGCTCTTACCGGCGTTAGGACCAGCGGCACTTATAGTAGGGAACGATAACCCCTTGAAGTATTGAAGTTCCCTGATAAGTCGTTTGTTGAGTATAGGAACGCGATGCGGGCAGGAAGGGCAGGAAGGGCTTACGATCGGAATTCCTCAAGCTTGTCGGCAACTTGGCTTTCTGTAAAGCTCGCACCAGAATTCAATTGCTCTTCTAACCATGCCAAGTAGCGAACCAGTGCCGAGCCATCCCGAATATGACATTGGCGGAAACCCGCGAGCTCCGTGTCGTTCTTTATGGCCTTGACTTCCGCAACTAACGAAGGTGCGATGGTGAAATTATCCTGCCAAAATCTCGTAACCAGAATGATGTTTCAGTTAAAGGGGTAAACCCACTTGTCCAATGGCGTTCGCTATTGCTAGGCTCGCGTTTTGACTAAGTAGGAACCGCTGTACGTAACGCGCGCGAATTAGGGATGTTGTCAGCTCGAATGAAAGAATTGACCAACCTTTTCCGCGTTCAAGTTCAGAGTAGAGCTTAGCTCCTTCAAGTAGTCGAAAATCGACTCATACGGCTGGAGCTCGACGCTGCTGCCAAGATGGTCTCGAACGTCATCGCCAACCTGCGCTTTATCAATGAAAAGCACTGTTTTGTCCAGGGTCAAGACGACATATGCGAAAAAGACTAGAGAATATATCATCAAATGAAAATATTTAATAGTATTTGTCTTGTTCGTCTTACCGGGGTTGTAATCAATATCAGCTCCCCTGAGGTTGACAAGCCAAGCCACCTCATCAAGCATATTTACGACCATCCCAGCTGCATTCTTTTTCTGAATCTTTTCTCTAAGGTCCGCAATCTTATCTTCCAAGGACCGACCTGAGACGACATTAATGATTGGCCTGGCGCGCATATTTTGTTGACTCACCAGAATACTTGACCTCGAGAGGGTATACTTTATTCTTGACTCGCGGGGGCCTGTTGGAGCCCCATACGTCGTCTACTGGGTTCTTATTGATCGGTACGAGGTCAGAGTTCCTTTGCTCGAGAGATTTCCGTAAAGTTTGCGCGTCGGCTGGATCACAGTCAGCGTGGTGTTCTCCATAATGAGAATGTATGCTAACCAGCTGAAATGAGGGTGGGGTCAATGCCAATATGCCTTTCCTTTTCCAGTTTCTGACGATCATATTTATGAGTAATTCTTCATGAAAACGGATGATATTGACTGGCCAGGCATGACTTTGCACCTGAGAGAGTTGAGACCATATCACTCTACTCGGCAGTCATTGCCTGACAGAAGGACAGGAACGCTGTACGGGGTAGAAGCGCATATAACAGATATTCTGTCATGCATGTTGCTCTTGTTGTGAACCTGAGATTAAGTGGAACTACTCACATCGGAAAGGAATTCTTGCCACGTAGGCACGCCTGTCACGTTTTCAAAATCACGTTCAAGTAGCAATAAGTATTAGTGATTCTGACCTGGAAGGCCTGTCTTCATTAAAGTCCAGTTCCTGAGTTTATCCTTTATTGAGAACCTGTACTTGGGATATCTGATACCTTACTTGTCAAGTTGCTTTGAGGCTTGTAAGAAATAACGACCATCCGTGAATAAGTAGGCATCCGAACTGGTTACAATGGCACAACCTTTGAAATCTCTTAGTCTGTACTCAACTGAAAGAGGGGCACTGAACGTGATACCAGCAGATCCATCGAATCCAGAAATGAAAGCCCTCCGTGCGTCGCTGCGGGAAGGAAACTCGCTAAAATCTGTTGTAAAGATAGCCTTAGCAGTCAATTATTTTATCCTGCAACGCATTTATTCTGCTACACACGTGCATCCTCACTCGGAACTACAAACGCATCTATGGGAGGAGACCTGCTTGCGAGGATGCTTCTGAGTGCAGCTAATCTCTCCGTTGTATCAACTGTCTGAGATACTGCCATTCCCTGTGACAGCCGAGCCTTCAAGATTAAAGTCTGGATTGACGCTAGACGATGCGTGATTAACTCAGCGAGGCGAGATCTGCAGGAAATGCGAGCAAGCATGGGATGGGAAATGCGCGAAAGTGATATAAAAAGAAACAAAGTTGTCAAAAAATCACGTGCATTATCTTTGTCAGATTATAATTATTTTGTTCCAGTCTTACATTTAGGTTCGGTGGTCTAGTGGTTATGACGCCTGTCTTACATAATGCACACAGGCGATCGCCGGTTCGATCCCGGCCCGAATCATTTATTCATCATGGATTTTTTAACTTACAGTGCAAGTACAGGACATATTTATTGTGAATTTAATTTGTGTTAGCAGGACGTCTTGATTCACATGTTCTTAATAATCTAACGTGAAGAGTTTCCAGATGTCTCTGCCTTTACAGGCTCTTACTTTGTAATTAGTTAGGCAGATATTGTTTGTGACAATGATCAGAGAGAATATCTTTGCGTCATGGATACCAGACCGACCTTCTGAACTAAAGTCTGGCATCTAAGCTAGACTTTAGTGTTCGGCCTTTGATGGGTATCTTCTAGAGTAAGGCTATGACCAGAAACAATAGAACACGATGCCGTTACAACTGAGTATATGTGAATGTTTAGGACATCCTTCAACTTCTTGAACAAAAGGCAGTCGCAGAACTAGCTGGCATACAATACAGAGCGTATAGTAACAGAATGTGTTAGACTCAAAAAGCACTTAGATCTTCTTGCGTTTGATATGCAGCCTTTGTGTCACAGGACATTAGGAGTCTCATTAATATTAGGCCGAGTTGCAATTTACTTTCTACTTTATTATACTTCCTAACTTTGTACTTTTTTTGTGCGTCAGTAAGACATTGCTTTGCTTCCGAGTGCAAAGCAGCAAATTCGCAGCAGAAATATCTCAAATAAGGTCTAAAATAAAAGCGTGGGTAACGATACCCATATACGATCATCATCGCTGCCTGCTGCCACGATTAAGCATGCTCTTGACCTGACTGGCAGCAACGTCTGTAACCAACCTCCCGGAATAGTCAACGATGGTGGAGGACAAGTACATTGGCCTTGCGCTGGCTTTATCGAGTTCGCTAGCCATAGGAACGAGCTTCATCATCACGAAAAAGGTCGACAGTCTATTGGCAGGTCTGACTGTGTACTCATCGCTTTCTACGTACTTAGGGACTCAACGACGCTGTCAAGAATTCGGAATATGCAAATGCCTCAGACGATCATTCATACTTAAAGAACCCTATATGGTGGGCCGGCATGTCGACCAGTATGTATCACAACATTACAGGACCTCCTCTAGTGCTAACTGATTGTTTCCTGCGAAGTGGTGATTGGTGAAGGTGGGGCATGTGCTACGCTTTGGTCGATAGATGACTTACTGGCCTTCCTCAGTTGCAAATTTTGCGGCATATTTATTTGCTCCTCCTATCCTGGTTACCCCCCTTGGAGCGCTCAGTGTTCTTATAGGGCGAGTCTGCCGACTTGTTGTATCTTGTTGACTGATTCTAACCGTTGTTCAGAGCGGTGCTGGCATCGCTTCTGTTGAAGGAAGAGTTAGGGCATGTTGGTCGTGTCGGTTGCACACTTTGCTTAATAGGCTCCCTTATAATTGTACTACACGCACCTGCAGACAAGGAGGTACAGACGGTGGATGAGATTCTGCATTATGCCGTGCAACCCGGTGAGATCTATACACTTAATTTCAACCTATTTAAACTTCTGATCTTTGCGATCAAAGGATTTCTATTATATGTTCTGACCGTCCTGATTTTTACGCTTGTCGTGATCTACGCCGTCGCACCGAAATACGGACGAAAGAATCCGTTGGTCTACATATCTGTCTGCTCACTTGTTGGCTCAGTCTCCGTCATGTCCATCAAAGGATTCGGCGTGGCTTTGAAGCTAACATTTAGCGGGAATAACCAATTTACACATCCAAGCACATATGTCTTTGCTATCATTGTTGTTGTTTGCATCATGGTGCAGATGAACTACTTCAATAAGGCTCTTGACAGTTTCTCAACTAATGTGTAAGTCAAAGACAAGTTACCCGATTCCCATAACTGATTGCTTTATACATAGCGTAAATCCGATGTACTATGTCGGCTTTTCCACCGCAACACTTGTCGCCTCTCTCATTCTCTTTCAAGGACTCAACACGACGGACGGCATCACGACAGTATCCCTGTTAAGTGGCTTCGCAATCACTTTCCTTGGAGTACACCTTCTAAACTTAAGCCGAATACCCGAGCCCCCGCGCGGTCACGATTCTATTCTCGAGAACGGGTTGCTAAATCCCAGACTAAGTATTTCAGGCCGACTTTCGATGGACGGGTGGAATGGGACCGCATCAGGAAACATAGGAGGCTATCGTCCAGATGGTGCACCCCATTCCGCTGGCTTTGGCCGGCACAGCAGTTTGTATCGGCACCAAACATCTACACTGTACAGTGCTTTTGAAGAAGATGGTGAACTCGAAGAACCTGGGCGGGAAGCAGTAGGTCTACGCCGACTGCGGGAAGAACCAGAGGAAACGGATGATGATTTTAGCGATGCAGATGAACGCACGCGGTTACGATCCGTAGAGAAGACTGTCCAAAATGGTCACCTCCAGAATACTCGAAAGGAGGGGTCAAGGAGCCACAGCAGTTCTCCAAGGTTATCACCGAGAGCAGGCGGCTCGTAGCATCTTGTAATTATTGCATTCTCCTGTATAGACCATACCCTGTGGACGTTAATTGTAACTGCTTCCGAATGGTGGACAAATCAGTACAAACAGCCCCAAATATAGTCACATAACGCGTCAAACATATTGAATGGGCGTTATCGAGACTTTCTTGATCAACCAAACTTGTGTGAACCTCATTGCCATGACCATGAATTATAAACTTTCTAGGTTTATTACTGCTTGTTTGGATGACTGACAATAATGTCAGTTCTCTATGGTGATCGAGACATGGTTCGACACGTCCTCGCCATTCTCAGCTGGGAAACCAAATGAAACAAGTAGCGTAGAATTTGCTGGTGCAGCCCAGAAGCGCGGATGGTGAGTAGCGAACCCATGTTCGAATGAATGGAGTATTTATAACTATGGTGGCAAGTTGACTCTGTAGGCTGCGCGTAAGTTGCACAAAATTGTAGCCCTTCCCAAGCCCCACTCACCAAATTACACGGAAGGCCTAGAATCGTCTGATCAATAGGACTATGATGCACATCCAGAGTAAGGCATCGTGTCATCCGATTCCACCTCCCAGGCCCTGACGTCCACCACGCATGTACTACTACTAGTACTGCACACGGTCTTTCCTTTCACCATGTCAGACACGGTCAGCGCGTCACAGCCGCTCTCATTCGTGTCGAGACTCGTGCAAACTTTGATTCCGAAGGTTCTCTGCCTGCATTTCGAGAGTGCAATCAAGCTAGATAATGGGGTTCCATCGTGGACCTCACGAAGCACACGTATAGTGACTTCCGTAACCAAGGTTAGTTCTCTGCTTCTCGGCCACAGTTCGATAATACAATCAAAGTGTTGCAAGTAGTGTGATGCATTGATCAAGGTTCTAGATACAAAGGGGGGAAGATTGGCCAAAATACGGACATGGACCTGAAGAAGTCGTTCTTTACTACGATAAGTCCGAGATTAACGACGCACTCTCATGGGTGAATATTAGTGCAGTGGCTATTTGAGTTCTTCCGGAGAATGACTCAGTATGACTCATTCGGATGGACGACTTGGGTGTGCTCTAGGCCCTTAGGATAATGCGTGCCACTGTGAGCCGCAGTAAGTTCGGTATAACAACTCAAGATTTCCGACACGACTATCTGGAAAGTTTTAGGACCGAAATTGAAGACGTTCTTCTGCGAGTCACAACCCTCTGATTACGGTATACCGCGAATTCGACTAGTGCCACCAAATTATTTGTGCCAGGCCTAGTGGAAATCTAACGGCTTATTTCAGTCTAAGGCTCTCGGTGACTTTTTATCGATGTTCCACAAAAAATTGCCATTAAGAAGCAACGTTCTCTCACGAATTGTGGTCAAGGCGGCACCCCAGCACCTCAACTTTCTTCTATGAAATCGCAGAGGAACAGGAAGACGCACTTCATGCACTTGAGCGTTTATTATCCGCCGACTCGTTGCAGGGTCCTTCCTGACGCGAAGTTTCTCGTTGCTTCTTGTTTTGAGGCTAACACGATGTAGGGCCAAGGCTACTGTGCCGGCGAAACAACGCCCGGAATCTGTCACCAACATCTTCATCGACTTCCCGTCAAAAGAGAAGAAGATGGAAACGAGCCAGTAAATGATATACGCAACGAGAGCTTCCATTGCAAATTGCAATCGGGTTTCATTTCTGCGTCCAGACAACCATTTGATGAACTGATTATAGGACCGGAATGAAAACTAAACAGACGTCTCTATTTACTGCCTCCATGAAGTCAAATCATAAAACGAGCGTTCAGCCTAGATAAGCTCAGATCGAGTGCGCCAGAGGAACGCGTGGATCCGTGAGTTCATCAGAAGGGATTGCCGTAAGTCCTGTTTAAGTCATTCACAGCCACGAGCACTCACTTTAATCCATTGCAACTGTCCAATGGCTCCATCAAGTGCGTTTGGGAAGGTGCAATCGGATTTCATCAGATAAGACCTGCGCTGACATGAACTTAATTACAGGCAATAACACCCTCTTAGCTTGGAAACGGATTTCGCGGGAGCGAATGCCGAATGGCGCTATTTCCGCACTCCATTTTGAGACATCATACTTGATATATCGCAGTTCTCCGCCACCTGTTTGTCTTCCGTCCGGTGTCTTCCGTGACTAACTATGGCCAAGAACGGCGAGTATTGAATGCGATTTGATAAAGCGCCTTCGGAGTCTGAGTCTGATCTTTGAGTAGCCTACCAATCGCAACATCTCCACGATTCGTCACTTCTCTTCGCCAAATGCCGGACATCTAAGTCCGGGGTGAGCGCACCGCAAATACTTCTGCCCTGACTCTGCCAACGGCGGCTTTGAAGGTGATCGTGCGGGAGGAAACTCGGAGCACGACTGCGCATGACGCGCCAAGTTCTCGTCCCTACGCTCTCACCTTGAGCAGACCTAAGCCAACTTACGCTGATCATGTGCGTGAAGCGTGGTTTGTACCACTCCATCTCTTTTGTCGACCTCGAGCCGGAGGACAAGTGCGTCTGTACTTATAAACAGTTCGACGTTGTCCTTCCTAAAGAGTCCGGCGATCCGGTGCTTATTTTTCCAGCTTCCAGATTGATTCTGCCATTCATTCCCAAGTGTTCTATTCAGGCCGGTTCTCCACTTTCTCCGCCGGCTACATCTACATATGTAAGATGGTTAACGCTCCGTCATATTTAAGAGCAGTCATTTGTGGCTCGTTCCCTCTGGACAGTCGCAAAATGCAGAATTCAACTGGCTTAGGATATACTACCCATCCCTCTTTACGTAGGTGTCGTCTAAGCCGACGTCCTTCCTATTAACCAATCCAGCTACAGATCTCCGAGATGCTCATGATGCTCACGTAGTGTTTGAGGCTGTTCGGCTTGGGCTACTCCCTCTTATCAAACGTCGCCTCACTTCGGAAGAACGAGATCAGCTTTGCTCAGGCAATGTCTTTGTCTGGGAGGAGGCTGAGCACAAGGGCGGACTTGAGCGCTGGACTGACGGACGGCGATGGTACACAGAGCCACAATCACATCTTTGTATAACGGTCGTCTTACATTCATGTATATAGGTCCCAGAGTCGCATGAAGGGCGAATATCTCTTCTATGAAGAGAAAGTGGAAACAACCGAGGAAGAAAAACAGGCGAAAGCTGCTCGAAGGTACTTATCCCTCTTGAGCAAGTACACATGATTGCCTCAACTCTTTTCGCTAACAGGGCAAGTCGCAATGCTGGCCACCCAGTTCCGAACGTTCCTACTAGACGTCAAGACCGTCCGGCTAAGCCCAACGGTCTTACGAAGCAGACCTACTCAACCCAAGTCTATTTGTCCAGCCAACAGTCCCCTCGCAAATGGCACATTGTCGCATACTTCTCGGTATGGATCTTTGCTTGCGCTGTTGGTTTTTCCAACTCAAAAGTAACTCAGGGAACGGATTATACTCGTCTTCCGGTTATTGAGAACTTTGAATACCTTCGCCGTATTCGTATCCCCGACGGAATTTTTTTCTCCGCGAAGGGGTTAGTCAAGAGATCGGAGGCTAACCATGCCGACGTTGATGGTGACGACGACTATTCAGCAGGCTCTAGTTTGTATGGCGGTGACGATTTCGCAGTCTCAAGTCCAATGCAGCAATCTGCACTGAAGGACTTCTACCCAGTCAATAGTCCTACCTCAGGTCCGCAGTACGACCGTCGTACAATGGACGAAAGGCACCCGTGGCCACCGTCCTCCTCTACTGTTCGATCAACTCGAGCGAATAGTCATGATTCCGCTACTCTTCCGAGGCTCTCCACTATTGCGCCACTTGCTCCTTCAGATCATTTCTCCCTGCATTCATCCTCACCCGGCACTCTGTCTCGTGCTAATCCGATGGATACTGCGGTTCGTCATCTTCCGTCTGCGCATGGCTCTGCATCTCGTAGCTACCGGCCACTTTCTCCTGAAGATCGTCGAGCCCTGAGCACGTTCAAAGTTGTGATTTGAACTAGGAGATTACAGTGTTTAATTAATATATTTTCTCACTGACAGCCTCTTCTGAAGATGTGTGGTCCTTTCTATGTTTCCAGCACACAACGAAGAGATGGATGTCATACGTATTGTCCGCGTGAGTATGAACTTCCGCTTACAACAAGGCCTTCCAGGAAAAGAAACAACACAAATTTCGCTCAATTTTGTTTTCACATCGCGAGGTGTCTGATGAAAGCAATAACACCGCCATGTTCCTAATGGCAATTCCAGCGTTAAGGGCAACTTCCATTCGAGCGGACGCTTTCGCATATATACCATAACAACCTCCAAGACGATATCAACACAAAAAGCCTTGTCGATGGTCATTCCACAAGGGTGGAAAGTAAGGGAAAGCGGCGCAATGCCCGCGATAAATGCAAATTACAAAGCGCACGGCGATTAGTCTCCGAGCCCATACTGCATTTTTGTCTATCTGACTTTTACCGCCTTGCAGTTGACACGCCGTTCTAGCCTGCTCCTTTGTGGTCTATCCTTATGAATGCAGATGAAGAAACGAGCAAATTTTTCTCCCTTCCTCCATCCTCTTTTTCATCCCCCTACGCTGACCTCTTCACGAGGGAAACATGAGACAGAACTGATTTACAAGCGAACGTGCCGTATCTTAGATATTGTATCCGGGTGCGAAGGTTTGTCCTTCCGTCTTCCTTGGTCCATCTTCATTACAATTATATTAATATTCTGAACGTTTCAATCCACACAGATCCACTCATTATATCGATGCATCGCCGCATTGCATATCTATAATCCTTGGTGGAGCGTGCTTCCTTCTGAATTATCAGTTGAATCATCGTGAACGAGGAGGCGGACGAGTTGACGCTCCTTTCAATACAGCTCATTATTTGTTTAAACAAAGTTTAACCGAATATGTTCCTTCTACAGTTCCTGCGTCATAATATTCTACAACAGGGCTCAGGCATTGTCGTATCATCTGCCACCCTTCAAAGTCTACAAGGCTATCAGCGGGTGGTGTATTGATGGTGTACCCACCGTGCTCCGCTTCATTCCGAGGCTGCTCCTTGCTCCTACGAGTCGCTGGGAGCTTTGGGAGCGCGGCGTCTGTCAGCAGCCCACTCGAAACCAGACATTTTCTTCCGCGAGCAAGCAGTCTTGGGAATGGGGATACTCATATTAGACCCTTCAGTCATGAAGGTGAGTAGCGGACGTTTTGCTGAACTAGATTCCATGCGCTGATCTATTGCGTCCCTTGTCGTTCCATCCAGGTACCTCGGTGCTTGTGACGCACGGGCTAGAGGTGCGACGCGCCGGACGGCCAGAAACGGCGTTAGGACGAAAAGTTGCTAACACCGAGACCAAGTTTGCACGACGTTCATTCGGTACGTAGGGTGCTAGTGCCTGAACCTTTGCTAGACGAGCTTACGGTTCGCTTATAGCGTTGTACTGGTTGAATGTAACGTTGATCTGGCATCAGCTGAACACCAGCAGGAGGGCGTATCATTTTCAACCATCTGTCAAAATCCCCATGCAGCTTGGGGTTCTCATCGGACGGACCTCCGGACCTCGAGGAGATGGTCGAGTGACGTACTCTTGAAGAGTTGCAGGTCAGGAGGCTGGAATCTGCGTTGATACGTCCTGACCATCGCAAGCCGCTTCGCCTTCGTAATGAATACTCGTCATATGGCACTTCATGGTTAAAAGGAGACGTACGTCTTCCCCGTTCCGTTCTACCTCTTTCGATGCATCGGCTGTGCCAACTTTCCCAAACAAATTCTGGAGTCCAGAATCGCACACATATAATGTTGCGCCAAGCTGGAGGGACTGTCCTGGTAAGTTTGCCTCCCATCGTCTAAAAGTAATGCTCTGCATCTCATCTTGCCAAGGTTTACCCATGACCGCGCTAGAACCACTTTTTTGGACTCCTTGGACCACGAGGCACCTGAATCATCGAGCCTTGAGACCATGCGGCCTCTGAGACAGCGCGATTGACCGTATTCCAGGTTCAATACAAGAGCGAAGGTACGTCGACTCCGACTCTGCTAGATGTAAGTGAGCCGAGACATACGAGGCTGCTGTCCGTGGCAATTATCCGCCTGTTTGGTCAGCGAGTGTCCTCTTAGGACACGCGTGTGTTTTGCGAAGAATCGACTGTTTAGATTGCTTACCATACAACTATCTGGCGCGTATGTACTCCAGAACAACGAGCGTGTCACGCTTCTCATTTATGTAGCTAAATGGGCTCCGTAGAGGAGGTTGACTTTCTAGTTTATATACCCCTTGAGTGGGAAGTGCATAAAGGATGGTACGTCTGCAGGCGGTCATTAACAAATCGCTCGAAGTCGATTATCATTTCTCCAGCGTCCACAGCTTACGTATACTGCACGAGTTCTTCGAATATCGGCTCGTGAGATCTTCGGAAGAAGTTGTTCTATATAATTGATCCTGCTCCGCTTCTGGGCGCAACGGCTTCTACAGTGGGAATTGAATTTCGGCAGAACCACAAAATACGCACATACATACATTTAAGTCTGTTGTATTCTTCACCTCCGCAATGCCATGTGCGGATTTTGACAATTGGTCCCGGCCTCGGAGCAGATGCAACCTTGCTACTTAATAGCTCCCGAAGGATTAGGCAAAATTCCCTGTCCTTCCAAAACCATAGATGCTCGTATGGTAAAGAGATTACTCTATTTGTAGATGGCGAAAGTCCATCGTCGGAGGTTTTTGAAGGGATAATCGGAGACATACATTGTTGCCTTTTTGAGCATTTGAGTGAAGTCTTGATAGACCGGCAAATACTCGCAGGAGACGATTTGTGCCAATTTCCAAAGTACCGAATATTTTACATGTAGATTTCCGTACCCTCCGACTTTCTTTCCTTTCCTCTTAAAATCCGCATCAACGCGATTTAGCATGCTTCATGTATCTGGTGAAATGTCCGGGCACTAATGCAATAAGCTTATTCCCGCGACGGACAAAAATATCTGCAAACACGCGTGAAAGAAAAGCAATACTCATAGCAGTAGCTTGCGGTGATATCCTATAAAAGATGTCCGTCTCAGAAGAGGAGCAAGTTTGATGCAAATAGTACTGTAAGAGAAAGGGGATTTACAATGCGTCAACAATGTGTAAACGTGGCGCAGGATTGAGACTAGGAATTTATCACGGAAGCAATTGCCGATACGATACGTACAATGAGAAGAAACGCGATGTAACTAGATACAAGAAAATTTATGGAGGCCATTATATAAAAATAAATAAGTTATAATATTCGTCCGTCTCCTCGGATTGTAGAAGTATGCTTATGGTAGAGGCTCGCAGAAGGACCTGGAAATACTTCATTCGTGATGTAAGTTATAGGAATAGTAACATGCAGAAACATATGGACTGACGTACGTGCGAAGAAAAACTTCAGACTAGAAGTTCGACATACGCTGGGAACGGGAAGCGGAGTTCGACACCAATGACTCGCGCCTGCTGCCAGACGGACCGTCTCGCCCGCATGAGTGTGAGAGCTCATGAGCAGGGTTGGCTGTGGGTCGGGGGCCGCCATAGTTGGCCCCGCGCCGATCCATGAGGGAGTGAAGATGTTTTGCGAGTTTTCTCTCATATTCCTCCGAGTACATGTCCTTCTCCAACTCGGCCTCAATATGGTGTCGTGGCGTCGGCTGACCTGGCCTGTATCCGAGAACTGCTACGTCCGGATGCCTTGTAATTTCGACCAGTTTCTTCCGAAGTCGCCCGGCCGTAGAGACCTTCTTCTCCTTCTTGGGGAACAAGTATGGAATGACAGAGACGGGAAGTGCATCCGGAGGGAAGGTCGCAGTTTGATACTGCGCTTGTACTTGTTCCTGGCCCCCAGCATGGTCAATGTGGCAGCACCTGGCACTAGGGTGTTGGCGAGCGGTGTGATGGGGGTCACGGTGGGCACTATCATGATCGTTTTGGTAGCCGTTGCCGTAGCCATGAATAGATGCGTGCTCCTTCTCTAGCGGGTAGTGAACATAATGCTAGACAAAGGGGAAAAAATAGCAGAATGTGAATAAACGATGTGGATCGATATAGATCATTGAGATTGAAACATACGCTATGACGGGGATCATGGTATTCTTGGTTCGAGTATCCCAGGCTGTCACCCTTGGACGAGTCTGGATACATCATGGAGGAGCGGCGGGATGTGCATTCCGGGGCACCAGAGTCATAATCATCGACAGGGACAGGGCGATACTGTCCGGATTTGCGACGCTGTCGACGAGTAGGACGAATAGGAGGATAATATAGCTCGGTCCCGCTAGACTCCGCCATACGTTGTGTTTTGTAGTCGTCATCACCATACATATCAATGAGCTCCTCGGCAGTACATGGAATGGATTCATTGTATCGTGTGTTTTCAATGAGCGTCGCGTCGCTGTCTCGGTGGGCACGCTCACGTCGAGGGCTGGAACAAGTATAGCTTGGACTGCACGTGGTAGAAGAGTATTCCATTGCGTGGAAGAGAGAAGGGCGAGGTAGAGGATGGTTAGACGTTAAGGAAGATGAACTCGTTGTGTGCCGTTTTATGCTTTTGCTGGTACATAGCCTCGCATTTCGCGAGATTTGTTTTCCAGTAGCATTGAACAATTAGTTTAATTGTCCTCCCAGTGTCCATGTTCACAATGTATTTGTTTGGAGTATGAGACACGCGTAAGCGAATGTCTTGGTCTGCTTCCAAGTTAAACAGCATAGCACACACTGACGTGTCTATTTTTAAGTTCTGAAACACCCGTGGGAATATGGCGCCCGTTGACACAGCCACTACGGATTCAACCACTGCCACTGCCACACATCCAGTTTGCACACCTCGAATCCACGATACGATGAGCAAGGCATGGCGCTCGTCTCAGCCAGTGTAGACGTCTTTCTGCTTCTATCGATATTCACAGTAGCTTCGTGGCTGTATATCACCTTCTCAGCTCGCCAACCCAAGCGGCCCGAAACGCGGAATGCTCAACTTGCTCAAGGAGATCTTGAAAGTGAACCTCAGACACGCAGATTTCTCTCAATTTTTGTCGCCTTGCACTCTGTCTATATATTGTACAAACTCATAATAACCCCACCTCAAAATATTTTCGCACTGTTGCACGTACCGCTGAATGAGGCGTCGGACAAGATTAGACACTTGTTGATGGAGAAAGCGCACGTCACTCTGCTCCCAAAGTCCCTGGAGATTTTGTTGATGCGTCTGCAGTCGTTTGATGTGCGCATATCCTATGTTCGGTGAGATTAGCTATAATAGCGACCTGCAGTTCTCTGACTTTCTGTTCAGTTTTGGGCATTCGGCTGTACAGGACTGTGAGCACTGTGCAACGTTGCACGACTTCGCGCTTTACGCGCTTCCCGCACCCGTCCTAGAGTATGTTCGCATGTCTGCAATTATAGGACTTGCGACCATACATGGAAGTGGGCGCGAAGGCTGGCGATTTGTAGCACTGATAATGCTTTCCATGGTCGCTGCGACTGAAGTCTATTTTGTACTAACTTCAGAAGTAGTATTTGTAGCCGAAGAGAAGCAGACCATAATGGTATAGCATCTATTTAATCAGTTCTACAAACCTGACTGACGCGCTCTAGCTACACGACATGGCCCTTTGTTTTCGCCGGATTTTCTTCTTGCTGTTCCTCCCACTCCTCTACCTAATCCCTCCACGGAGGAAGGCACCCTCTCTACTCCAGGTTCTTCCCGATCTCGCTGTTCGAATGGAACGAATGCATGCTCGCCTCCAGCTACTTCGCCTTACATCCGCAGGACGTGCGCGTCATCCGAATCTTCACACATCTGCAGATGCCTGGTGGACTAGACAACGTGAGAATGGTCAGTCTGCTATGAACGACCCCACGTTGCACGAAACGGTGGGGAAACTAGGCCTGAGCCTTGACGAGAACGAAACTGGCGCGGACGGCAAAAATCTGCGAGCACGTGCTAGGGCTTTGGTGGGAGTTCTTCAAAGTCAAAGGAGCTAGGACGCCGTGATATCCTTGGCTGGCGTTCGTTTCCTGTTCGACAGAATTTAACATGCATTTCTTAGCATGGATACTTGTTCGTGAATGTCCTGATGCGGAAACTGGCCTTGAAATTCGTTACGACACCGGGACAAATCATAATCGCGAGACAGCATAGCTTATTTATCAGACTAATAGCGCAGGTCGAGGCTATTATTGAGGCTCGATACGTTGTCCTACTGTCCGGGCAAACGGCCTGTGACAGGGAAAGTGAGTAGTAATATGCCTCTGAAAGGAACAATTTTCCCACCATAAGCTCACGCAATCAATGTTAAACACTCTGCCATATCCCCGAACGCATATGCACTTCAGATTCCCAGCCGAGACGAGACTCTGTGCGTTAATTAATAGTCTACACGGCAAGGTGTACACAAATCGCCAAGAGTACTGCAGAAAAGATACACCACATTCATGCCGCAGCCAAGCGAGTCGTTCTGTTGGGAATTAGACAGTAAGTTTGGTGCTATGTAAGAGTTAGCAAGCAAGGAACTCTAAGAAGCAGCTGTCAAAGAGGAATGGAAGTGTTATTTTCAGTCGGGGCTACGAAGTATGAAAAACGGGTTCCCAGTAGTTTCGTAACTTGTACAGGAGACTCAGGGCACGAGATCTGGCGGCAGTCCTTTAGGTACCGCTGCACCTTCCTTGCGTTCTTGTGTGGGGAGTTGATAAGGATCTCTATGTCCTGTTTGTATACATCTACTTACACACAAGGTTATGTGCAGAACAGGCCTATAAGAGAAGACCATTACATCGTCTTATCTAGGAGGATACTGTCTTGGCCGAAGATGACCTTGGGGAAAGAGAGCCAGACACCCGCATTGCACGGATGAGGTCGAGTAAAGGCGGCGAAAGTCACGCAGGGAGGACTCGGAATGACACTCGTTCTGGGACCTTGGGGAACATGTACCAATGACAAGGAGGTGGATAGAGCCGCCTGGTCTAGTACTTCTCAAGCGCATATCCAATCACAGTGTCGTTTGTGCATGGCTGGGAGAGGACTTGTTCTTTTCTTGTTGCGAAAAGAAGATAACAGATAGGAGCATTGCTGGCGATGCTAATCTCGGACTGCTAGACTCCGGTTGTTTTAATGTTTTTGATGGCTTGGGGAAGGCATCCTACAGCAAATACCCGCATCCGAGATGTGGGGGAACTTGGATGACGGATAAGGCACATCTGGTTATATTGTGTACGCACAGCAGATTGACAATATCGAATCCTTATAGTGGCGGGATATTCGGGAGAATCGAGACAGAAAAAATTCCTATGTAAGTGATGGGCCTCATCTTCATTGGACCTTGTCGATTAAAGAAATCAAGCGAATCTATCCAGTCTTTAATTAATCTAGATGACTTTGATGTGCATAGTGTAATTCTTAGAGAGAAGAAATTAGATTATCCAACCACTGATCAATGTAAAGAGACGAACATAGGTTACTTCACACTTTCAGTCCCAAGCCCCTTAGACCGTCTTTAGCTTGAGCAATCTGCTCTTCAACGCTCTGCTCAAGTTCGACGGTGACTACGTTCGGTTCACCCGTTTCGCCGGGAGGTTCGAGTGTATCGAGCTGACTGTCAAGCATGCCAGCTTTCATGAAGTGGCCTTTACGATTTTGCATGCGTTCCAAAAGGGCTTCACGCGATCCCGAGATGTGGACGAAATACGTGGGTAATTTGGTAGGTGGAGTGTCTGTGGAGTAACCGCGGAGAGTATCACGATACGATCGCTTGAGGGCGCTGCACCCTACCACTACGCCTCTAAGTCCCTGACCGTCTTGCTGTGATTGGGAATGGGTTTGTTCCTCAACTGTACGGACAGCTTCGGCTCGGACGCTCTCGAGCCATGGATGGCGGTCGGCGTCTGTAAGGGGGATGCCAGCGGACATCTTATCGATATTTGACTGTGGGTGTAACTCGTCGGCATCAACGAATGGGATGCCGAATGCATGTGCAAGAGCGGAACCAAGCGTAGATTTTCCGCATCCCGATACACCCTAGCGTTAATATACTTCATTGGATTTTGCCTTACAATGCGCATATATTGAGATGAATATGGAACGTACCATTACGACAATAAGCACTGGGCCTGCATCCTCTGTGATACTTGTCTCTTGCCTTGCACGTTCGGCAGCTTTGAGATGCTCAACTTCATCATGCTCGTATCTGCCGCCGACGTCTCCGCGTGCATGATGAGGATGGTGCTCTTGCTCTGTACGAAGGACGTCGAGTTGATCGGAATCTCTGCCCTCCTCTGCTGACATGTTGGTGGGCTGGTATAGTGGCCGACCCGATGGTGTATGATACCAATGAGGCGGTTGAAGGAGAAATACTGGGTATATGCGTCATGTTCGGGCGTGACGTAGGGGTTAGAAGCGATGTGTTTGTTTGCTATTTTATTACCGGATGCATTGCTCCGTAATACATTCGTCTATACTGCTCGTCAAAGAGAAATCTGAACTACCACTAAACGAGACAGCTCTCCGGAGTCAACCAAAGCAAATAATATGTCAGACTATACATCCTGGTTCCATGAAATAGCTATGTTTCCCACAAAATTTAATCTATACACACGTCTATTTTCTAACTCCCAGTTCAGTCTTTGACGCCATATTCATCTCGATATGCCTTCATTCGCTGCACAACGTCCGTTTGTCCATTATTCTCCAGCCAAGTCATTAAGTCTCGCATGCGCAGAATAGTCGACACTTTTCTTCCTTCACCGAGGATTCCTTCGACATCCCTAACGGTGTTTCTGCCGTCTATGGTAACCTCCTCTCGATCGAGGAGCGTCACCACGCCAACAACTGTGCCTCCCTCGCGACGGATGAGATCGATCGACTGGCGGATCGCTGTTCCAGCAGTCATGACGTCGTCCAATATCAATACGCGCTTGCCGCGAACGTCTGAGCCAATCATCCGTCCACCCTCGCCGTGCTCCTTGGCCTCCTTGCGGTCGTACGCGTAACCGACCGATATGCCGTGCTCGCGGTTTAGTGTGAGCGACGTTGCGGCGACGAAGGGAATTCCCTTGTATGCGGGTCCGAAGAGGACGTCGAAGGGAATTTTTTGTTGTGCGATTAGGGCCGCATATCCGGATGCGACGGCGGAGATGAGCGGGCCTGTGCTGAGCAGCCCGGCGTTGACAAAGTACGGGGAGGTGCTAGGGTCGAGAAATATGTGGTAGGAATACTCATATGTTTGTAAACAATCATGCGAAGGCAGACACGACGCACCGACCAGACTTCAGGGTGAAGGAGCCGAATTTGAGTGCACCGACGGACATGGCGCCCTCAATGATGTCCTTCTGATATTGCTGGAGCTCGGCTGGCGACGACGATGCCATTATGGGTGGTGGTGAGTAGTGAGGCAGGTTGGCCGTGATTTTCGGGTATGGATCTGGTATCTAAAATGTATTCAATCATTTTCGTGGAGGTGGATATATGCGTCCATTCCGTTTGGACGCGTCTTGTCCCTGTGCACTATGTGGAGTGCCTCCATCACCATTTGTTCTTATGGTGGCATTTTACCCCTCTATCTTCAAGCCTCCTGGGTTCTTGCTCTACTCGCACCTCAGTAGGTTTATTCGATGCAGCTGCCTCTCTTTATTTTAGGAGTTTCGCTTTTTCGAAGGAGTCGGACAAGAGATCGCGATCTCGAGAGTGGCACGCACGGTCTAGTAGGAACCTCGTCGAACAATGCCGAAAAACACGCTGCTCAACGAAGAGCATCGTCGTTACAACAGGAAGATCGCGGGTATCGACATGTCGGTAGGCGTCGTAGCCTGAACGACGATGACTCCGACGAAGATCGGAGACTTCGCGAAACGTCTGAGCAATCGGCGACTTCAAGGCCCGCTTCTATCACTCCACTGCAACCACGTCCAAGCCTCTTTTCTCGCCTTCGGAATCGTCTCGCTGCCATCAAGGATTTCATCCTGCAGACAGACGGCAGCGCTGATGACCTGAGTAACGAATACCATAATCATCGACTTCTACCCATCTTATCGGGCATCGTCATTCCGTTTTCTATTCTGCTCGAGATACCGGGCCTCACGGGTCACTGGTACATCATCACTGAGAACAACAAGATCGTCTATTCGCGAAAGAACAGCGCACTTCTTGATACGGGTCTTGCCATTTCGATGGCATGCGGTCTGATCGCGAACATTGCTATTATCATTAGATTCTTAGAGAAGAAAGTCCGGACAGCTACCCTGGTCGCCATTGTTGCATTAACAATTCACGGTCTGCATCTACTTTCCCTACCTTCTCTTTTATGTACTGAACTGAAGGAAGTATCATCTTGATGAACATTCCTTAGACGCAATTAATATCTCAGCAGTGACAATCTTTGGTGTTATCCACAGATTCAACGATGGCTTCACATATGGCCAATCTTTTTGGTTCACATTGTGCTCTACGATTGCATCGCTAGTTACAAACGTAACACTAGTCATTGACTACGTCCGCACCCCGAACTTCGCGCGTGCGTCTAGTGGATTGACTCGTAAACAACGCTCGCTTGTAATCGTGGTCATGCTTTTGCTCATGTGGATTGCAATCGGTGGACTTTGCAATTCGCTGCTAATGGGTCTAAACTTCATTGATGGAATGTACTTCACCGTCGTCGTAATCGAAACGATCGGTTTTGGCGACATCGCACCGAAGACGATCGGCGCTCGTATATTTTGTGCCATTCACGCGACGATTGGGATACTCAACCTCGCACTCGCAGTGGGCATCTGTAATGACACAGTCATAGAGAGCTTCCAGGCTACTTATAAGAAACACCTAAGTGCGCTTGATGAGCGAAGGAAGGCGACCCGAGAACGACGTCGAGAGCGACACGCCGAGAAGATTGCAATTAAACGCCAGCTAACCCAAGCAGGTTTACCTGTTTATGTTTACCGTGTTAGACATATTGCCGGGTCGAGGGTTACTATTAGAAGGAAGCATTTGAACGTAGAAGCGCTATCCGGACATCAGACGGAAATCGCGATGCAGGAGGCTCAGAATATCTTACGACTGGAAACGAAGAGGCTAGGACAGTCGACATTTACTTCTCAGCTGGTTTGTTGCGCGTTATCTTTCCTTGCTCTTGCCATGACCTGCCACTTCTTCTAGAGCATTGATAATACTATCACTGAGAATCTAAAAAAGGAGTTCATGGTTAAGGTGTGCACAACGAGAGATTATGGCTTTTCATCCGAGGTGGTGCTTACTGATTAAATGCAGCTGACTTGCGTATGGGTACTCTTCCTGACTTTCTGGCTCGTCAGCGAATTTAACTACCTTCTCCATTTCGATACTTACGTTCCACAAATAGATTGGTGCAGCAGTATTCAGCGCTACCGAAAACTGGTCGTTCGGTGCGGCTATATGGTTCTGTGAGTTCCATTACCACCTTCTAACTTGACACACATGCTATTTCGAGCGTCTAATGTCGTAATCTAAAGGTTTCGAGGCATTCACTACGATCGGCTTTGGGGATCAAACACCTCAAACACCTGCTGGTCGCTCAGTATTTATCGTCTGGGCATTGCTCGGAGTTGGGACGATGACTATTCTCATTTCAGGTATATTTCCTCTTGTCACATCTGATATTGCTGAACATGTTAATTTGGTCAACCCTTTACCCAGTCTTGAGTGAAGCGTATTCGTCTCGTTATCGCAAAGCTATTCAAAAGCATAGTACAGTCCGGTCTATTCCTCGACATGAAGAAGAGAATGATGAAGTAGTGCATGGCAGCAGCAACGAAAGTAGGGAAAAGGATATGTTCAAGCCGCATTCACCGCGAAGACGTTACGCGCATCAGTATTTTGATGCATACCGACGACACACTTCCTGTCCAGAAATCGCACGAGGACATGCTCACCGAAGAGGATTGTTATTGGTAGACCGCGAAGACACCCTTCACGACAATGACGACTCGGAGAATCGCCAGCACATTTTTATGAAGCCGCGCAGAAACACAGGAAACGACCGAGTGTCGGTTATTGACTTCGCAAATATGCGCCCGTTTACACCTTCCACGGCAGCGTGAACCGCGAGTTGGCCTTTTAGGAAATGCGATGGGTAGTTGGAACGGTCAACTCTGACTCTTTTGCAGATGACGCTTTTTACGAACTTTACGATGATACAACGATAACGACTCGATATTAGGTGCACGGAAACACGTGAACACCACCCACACTGAACATTCTATATCGATATCTGTATAACACATACCGACCTACATATCCTGTATTAATTTGGTTCTAATTGCTCCGGATTCCCGTCTTTGGTATTTCTCCACGGTACTTTCTGTTGTATTGTTACTCAATGTGGTGTAGTGTATAGCTGTCAGATAGGGCTGTGTGTTGAGAATGGATGCAACTCATCCATAAAGCTGTGGCTGGCATGGTATCAATCGTTTTAAAAATGATGAAAATGAAATCCCGCGGGGTTGGTGAGGAACAGCCTCGCCCCGTTACAATGGAACATTAGTATTGGAAACGGCGGTCGAAATGGTTCAAAGTACAGACCTCACCATTCCAAAACAATTGAGATGTCTTAAGTTGTAAAGCAGTGAAGGTATTACCGACATCGATTCTGGAGTAAAATAATAGAGGCGTACACTTCGTTGGATTACAATTTGAATAATTTAATTTGCTCGAGATTTTGTTTCCAGAGCACAGCTTATACGTACCGACCGTGCTTCTATGAATTCTGAGACATAGTGAGCAATCTCATGACGAATACGCTCGTTTAACTAAATTTGTATTCCTTTATAGGTTTATCAGAGATTGGAAATAATGGCCAACAATGAGATTTGTTACAGCTAATTTCTATTTCTTACTAGTAATACATTTATTCCTTGATACTATAATTTTTATGAGATTGACTACTGTATTTTATTTTTGCTTCCGCGGAACGCTCTAGACTGGACGCAAATCACGAAGTATATGTCTCAGCCATTTCAAATGTTCATTGTCGACACGTCATTCGTGGAAAATAATAAGTTGAGTCGTTGGATTCACGCATAGTGGTCAGCTTACGAGTAAGTCGAAAGTGCAGAATAAAATATAGAATTTAATTTGTGATTGGGTATGATCCATGAGTTACGTGAAGATGCGGGAACATGAGATCCTGAAGTCAATACAATGAGTCGAGAACATAGTCCGTAAGAACGATCCTCGCAGATACAGAAGTAGACAACGGAAGATTCTCGAGAGTCCGACATGGGGTATAAGCAAACAGACGAATACGGTCTTATGCATCGCTCGTCTCTTTCTGCAGGCACACAACGGTCGACCTACTTCCCCGCATCGAGAGACGTCTCTGGCGTGGACTGGGATTGCATTCAGAACTGCCTTCCGAGGAAGAGTCGGAAGCATCATCGCAAGCAAGGCGTACTTCCTCGGTTTCTTCGATGAACACCTCGGCTTTCGGGGCCGCCAACCCGTTCTGAGATGCAGCGAAGATTGCAGCGGTGGAGCGGGTGAAGGCATTCTTCGTTTGTGTTCCACACTTCTCGAAGAACTTGGCTGTCGTTGCAGCGACTTCGCATTCCTCCGGCTTGACGAAGAATAACGAGCGTCTGAAGGCCGTACGAGTGCCTTTGATGATTGGACGAGCCGGTGCCGTAGATTTGGCAGCAGCATCGAGGAGCAAAGTCTTGCACTGGCGAACAGCTGGCTTGAAGCGACCACGGTCAGAAGTCGGGTCTGATTGTGCACGAGGGCGAGTGATAGTAGACTTTGCCCGAAGTTTGTTGATAGGCATAGAGAGTCGACGGAAGCGCGACGCAGTCTTCGCAAAAAAGCCGCCTGATTCTTTCTCCTTTTGGCACGAGCAAGGCGGGACTCTATGTCCCTCGAGGGCTTTCAGGGCTTCTTCCCTGCTGCGATTCTTTCGCGGTGTGAGACGCCGGTATCGAGCGGCGTTTGTCTCGATGGACGGCGGTGGGGATCGCCTCCATGTGAAAGACAGGAAGATACTCTACGAAAAAACAGGTGTTGGTGAGTAACGAGAACTGATATACTGTGTTAAAATAGCTAAAGAAACGTACGATGAAAAAGCCCCACGACGACAAGCAACGTGCAACTATGGCGAGCCACATAGAGCGGAACGGTGCTGGGATAGGCTCGTTGGACATGACAAGACCAGAAGACATGGTTGGTATGAGTGACAGAGATGCTATGAGCTTCTCTGGTGAAGTTTGTCTACGGTGAAGTTTAGGATAGATGGTGAAGTCTTGTCGAAGGTAGGAGTAGTGAAGAAATTCGACTTCATCTCGACGCTTTTTTATAGATTTTCTCTTCACCGCCTTGCTAAGAGTTTACGGATCGTTGAGACAGTATGAGTTCACTTTGAGCAGCTTCTGTCTTAAAAGAACAATACAAATTTTCGTGTTATTGTTATAAAATCCTGAGATGCCGAGGTTCGAGGTTGTAGATGCTCGTAGGTGGATAGTGAGACCTACGTCATTACTCACAGCCTTGCAGACGGCGTCGATCAATCCTATACTCACGTGACGCGTCTGCTTCCTCAATTGTCGAACTGGTCTCGGCACTCCACCTGTGTCCAGACTTATGTCTGAAAATAACATGCACAAAAAGAAAATGGAACGGATTACGCAAAGACGGAGACTAAGATGCAACTCGCGACGGGAATCATCTTATCACATCATATCAAGAGGCATATTTCCACGTTCCATGCACTTTTCACTTAGTAAACTTTTAGTGAAGCCAGAAGCCTAGCTGAGTGTATAGTAGTAAAATAAAGCATGAATTTCATGACACATTCTGTGTAGCTTTAACTACATGTTATGCAATGGGGAATTCTTTGCGACGTGTTTATGGACATGTGCCCAGTACTCATGATGCTAACATTCACCCGCTCCCAAGCCGATGGCCGCTACCCCAATTGTATGCACCCGTCGCTGACCGCGCGGCACCACGAACTGCAGCAGCCGCTCGCCTTCCATCAGCATTCAGTACGCGTCCTACTCCCGGAACGACGCCCTCTCCGCGTTGATCCATATAATCAGCTAGCCAGGCCGGTGCCTTGGCAAAGTCTGCGCCTGGCCGACCAGCATCAGTATTGTGCACAAGATACCACCAAGCATAACCGGAGATAACACCCGTCAGAGACTGTGCTGCCGCAGATGGTCCACCCATGAAGAGGTCCATAGTAACGAGTGCATAAGGAAGATATTGATGGGAAAGTGTGATGAGGCCAAAGATGGACGTCATCGCGTTAGGGCTTAGACGTGAAGAAAGAGTGATGAGGGAGAGGAGTAATGGTCGGAAGTGCACGACGGAACTGAGTGGAACATTAAGAGCCTGAAGCATAGTTAGCGCTTCATTTGATGCAACATGAGATACGTTAACCTACCAAAAGGCTCAGGGAGTTGATGAACGTTTGCCAGGCAAAGTCGGCGGAGCGACCTGCGTAATGCATCTCTTCTAGAGAATTAGAATTTCGACTACCGTCGTGATCAGTCTTTTCACGGCCGAGACGTACGCCCTTGACAGAAAGTCTCACTAGAGCATGATGAAGTCGAACAAAAATGCTATTCCGGAGCCTAAACCAAGCAAACGTCAGCAGAATTCTTATGGAACTGGCACACAAACATCTTGTTGCTCACCTCCAAAGAACATTGAAGTGAACGGTCGCCAAACCTAAAGGAAACTCAAAAAATTCATTCCATGGAAGACACTCTGTCATTGGCAATGCATACCTCAAGTCTCTGTGTTACCAACTGTTTGATGAAGATGATGCTGTACGGAGAAAGCAATTGGAGGTTGACGGGAATAGTGATTCCAAGCGTCGCCGCACAAAGAAATCGCGTAACTGGAGGAATTTTGCGTATTTCGTCCATGAAGGAACTCATCGTGCCAGGAGCGTTTGGGATATGTAGTTGCAGCAGCCCTGAGTTGAAGAGGGAATAAGTGTGAATGGACTTGCGCATGAGACGAAGTGACGTGTTTAGCACGTGGCCTCTGTGCTCACGTGTACACCACCAATATTATTACTCGCTCGACATTATACTTAAAGAAGACATTTTATTCGGATTGGACTTCTCATCGACAAAAAGTCGTGACTTCCTATAGAGCAACTGACATCTTTTCACTTGCTATTTCCAGCGTGTGCTTGTTACAGCCGATTGAGGACTGAGGATCGCTCCCATTCCAAATGGTGTTTTTTAATTTCCTTAAATTTGCATGGAAGAGGCACAATGAGCGGATTCGGTGGACTGTCGAGCCATCAGGCTACTAGTTTTTAGGCGGTCCCGTGGACGTGTTAACTAGGGACTGTCAAGCGTTCAAGGTCACATTTCTGTCGGTTTCGGAGATCACATCCCGAGACAACCCATGAGTTGCGGGACCAATTCGACGACAAAACGGTCCGCTGAATTATACTTACAGTTCCGGTCTAGCACAGGATGCGCTTCAGTTCCCTTCCTCGTCGCTTGTTACCTGCCTGTCGACTTACAGAAATTGTTCATTTCTCACAACTCCTTGCATGTGAAAAATAAAATATATCAAGGGCATCTGCTGATCTCCAGAAAGAAACCCCATACATTGTATGCCTCAAGTTTGTCCGCGGACAAGCATAAAACTGTTGAAGAAGACTTACTATGGGAATAAAAAAACATCTGGCGACCGAGGGAGGCATGCAAGCGGTTGTATGCTTGTTTCTTTATGCTCGGAATCGTGGTAGTGAAGGACCGAGATCCATTCTCGAGTGCTCTCCTTCTTACGTACGTTCTCTCTCGTGACAATGCCTCGATACAAGATACAACATGAATGCAACTACTAATAAAACAGCTACTAGAGCCTGAGTGTACATGTCCATTTCAAGTAATAAATATTGAAATGTTCGGATGAAAGCGGAGAGTGAAGGGGACGCAGAAGTAGCGTTCTTCCCGACTAAACGCAAGCCCAGAACCGTATGTCCTTAAGCGCTGAACCTGTCCTTGATCGCAGTCCACGCAACCGCCGCACTCGGGTATTGGATAACAAAACGCTCCATATCTTGTTCTGGAATCCTGTTAATGTCGACACTCTGCCAGTAATGCGCCAGCACCCAGATGATGTCTTGCACATCTATGTCAAGTCCTCGGCTGAATGATCAGTACGCTCAGCTCGAGGTTTTCGTAAGTAAATAAGAAAAGTTGACGCACAGTGCCCAGACATTAATCTTAGCGCGAAGAAACTCGGAGACAGTTAGAAAAGGGAGACCACGGATACGAGTCGTAGTGCTTTCATCCAGTCGACGTGGGCCGCCCTCTCCAGCGGGAAGAATTTCAACCTTCGATACAGTGAAAGGGACATTGCATCAGAAGTCCGTATAATAGTAACGAGGAATAAATTACCGTGATCGGCGGGATTGGCTCGTTGTACGTTACAAATAACCTATTTAAATTCATGGATAATCCGTTGAAATCCAAAAATGACTGCATTTACCTATTTGTCCAAGGCGAGTTAGTCACCATCAAAGACGGGTGCCCATCAATGGCTTGGCGAACGCGTCCAAAGGGGTGCACAGCACCTCCTTCGACAATACAGAAAACCTCCTGGTGATCGCATATCCATAAGCAAGGATAGGACAAACAAAGGACAAGCGTTCTGTCCAGCTCTACAAATACTCACATTGCATTGTGGGTTATTGGAAAGTAGCGCAATAAGTAACGAGCCGTGAAATGCATGCCGAGCGCCAGCGGCAGACAGCGCCTGCGAAAGCGCCGTAGCGGCCTGCAGTATACGTAGGGTCTCCGCCATGTCGAGCAGGAGCTTGGTCCAGATGAGTGCGAGGCATCCAAGTTTTATAGTCCTCAGACGATTAATAGGAAGGAGGTTAAAAGAGTATGAATGTCGGTATGTGAGCGCGTTGGGTCCAGAACAGCAACACGGTGAGTCACTTGAGCATCAGGCCAGGCGGGGAAATAAGCGGGTTATTGGGGGGTGCGAATGTATGTGGGCCCTTCCGAGCGTGGAAGTCGTTTGGGAGGAGGGTGAAGAAATTGTGACGTTCTGAGGAGCCGACGGAATCGCCCAGTGTATGTATGAAAAACTGCGAGGACCCTGCTAGGTGTCACGGACCTGCGTAGCCATAGGTGGCGTACATCATATTCAGAGAAGATTTAATCTAGGTTCTTATGGTTCAACGATGGTTCCAGCGACGAAGGCAAGAGAGAGTTCTAATCTGATCTGATTCTTTGGAGGCATGTCGCGTGCGTATAGTGATGATGCACGTCCCTCGAGTCGCAATTTAATCTTCGTCTCGGATGACAAGACCATTGGATCACATGGCAGGTTGATGAGGGTGTGAGACAGCTTAGGCTCAGCTGCGAATAACGCCGACGACAGCGGCTGAGCGTTCAACTCAAGCAAAGCCGAGACATAGTCATCGTAGTGCGTCGCAAACGAGCTAAGGTGTAGTTTATTGTAAGTGAAGTCTCCTCACAAGAGTACTTAGAGTTACCACGCTAAGTTTGACTGAGAAGACAACTAAGTAGCGAAGATTATTTCGGAGTCGGAGATGAATACTGCACGAGATGCCCGTGATCGTGGGATACTCATAACATTTCAGGAAATGGCTCTGCGTCTCTTACCAGCACAATTTCAAGGCCTCAAACTCGTCGCGTGTCATCACTGTTGCTGCGGTTTTGAGTTGTGCAGACAAGACGCAGTAAGTCACAGTACTTTGTTCAAGACGCGAGCTAATGTGTCTCTACAAGTCGCTGAAAGCGGATGCTAAAAAGTCGGTTTGCGTGGCGGAAGAACCATGTGATGAATCTCGTCCACAATGCTCGACCACAGCGACGATTAGCACCATATATTTCTCGTCGGTCATTGACTTGCTTCGGAAACTCCCTTCGAGCTATTGTGGGTCCGCTCAAAATTAGGACTCCGTCTATTACTTCACGGCGTGAAGACCGCTTGGTTCACGTTAATCATGTCCAATCGCGGCAGATGTCATGGCTCGGTAGGCTGTTGCGCACTCGCCGTGATTCCGAAGCTTTCGCGGCAGTGTCTGATGGGCAGGACGAGGCAGCAAGATCGGCGATTCTGGAGAAGGTCATGAAAGGTCGACAGCCTTCGGACCTCATGCTCCGCTGTACGTGTACATTAGTTTAAGTATGTCAATCGACTTCACCTCACCTTGCCCGTTAGGTACAATTCTGAATTCCCAGGGTTTGCTACATTCCGCAACTCTTCCTCACTTGCCATGGTAATTTTTCTTCGTCTGAAGGCGATGTAAAAACGATTTCTGGTCAATTTAAACGCCAAGAGCTATGTTTAGAACATAAACTAAATGTATGTCTTTTATCCTTTATTTGAGAATAACATCTTATAAGACATATTTTTAGCCCCGCGATCTTCGCAAGATTGATTCTAGGATCCCTAACCTTGTACCTACAATTTTTGCACGGAAAGAGGCAATTTTGGTTTGTACTTGTCCGACGTGTGTGACAAGTTTGTTCTGAACTCAAATCTCGACGTAGATCAATATTCTTCATATACGCGCTCTTGTCAAAGCAGACACTGTGGTACTGTTTGATACTTATGGCTCTGCAGACTCACGACTTCACTCGATTTTTGTTTATCATTTGGAGGTAAGCAGTTGGAAAAAAGTTCCTCTAGGTATCCTTCATCTAATTATCTAAATTTAGCACAACCTCAAGGCGAAGGGGACGGGATTACCTTATGAATTCCGGTGCGCTCACAATTAACCAGGCATTCATTTCATTTCAATATCTTTGTTAGGGCACTGGAGTCGATCTTGCTTTCTGTTTTGAGTGCTTTGGAAGCTGAAATGGTCTTTATGCGCAATCTCATTGGTGGAATACTAGCTGAGCTGGAAGATGACATCGATCGTGACAAGTTCAAAAGGCTTCTACACTATTCACGCCGGCTCACTGCTTTTCAGAATCGTGCCAAATTAGTCAGGTTATCCCTGTTCTTTGTCCATATCGATCGCATTAAATCTCTCTCTTCAGGTTCAAGAAGCACTAGAGGAAGTTTTGGAGCAAGGTAATAAGTATTGGTATAGATATTTTCTGCATCACTAACTATTCAAGCAGATGAGGATTTGGCGGCTATGTACTTGACTGACAAGAAGAACAACCACCCGAGAAGTGCGGATGATCATGAAGATCTCGAGGTTTTATTGGAATCGTTCTCCAAACAGGTCGAAGAAATCGTCAATGAAGCAGATACTATATCAGTAAGCTTATTTCTGTAATTTGGGCTACAGTCATTTACAGTCCCTTTTGTCAGTCTAACGTACAATCTACTCAAGAAATCGTAGAGCTTATTCTTGATTCTAATCGCAATGCGTTACTTGCACTGGACCTTAAAGTCAGAATCTAAGAATGAACCTGAATATGTAGAGTTGCTTGCTGATTTCATGTCAGGTTTCTATTGGAACGCTGGGCATCGGGACGGGTGCTCTCATCGCTGGTCTGTTTGGAATGAATGTACGTATCAAGATAGTCGATATAAGTGTAACACTTCTTAATGCGCGAGTGCTTTCAGCTGCAAAGCCATTTGGAAGAGAGTCATTGGGCATTTGTCGGAATGTCTGCATTTGCAACGTCTGTCTCCCTATTGATTGCATGGCTAGGCTTACGAAGGTATAGCAGTTTCTCATCCCATTTCATCCCCCCGAATGCTAACCGTATGAATGGCCTGTCATCCTTCTGACAGGCTCGCCAAAATCCGAAAAGTTGGATTATCGTCCAGTGCCAACGGTCGACGCAGCATCAACAGAAGACCATGGCTTCCCCTTCCTCTTCGCAAGCGAGGTCTAGACGATTGGACGTGACCCCATCTCTGATTAATACCGAGGTGAATCGATTTAGTTCTCTTCTTTCCTTCCTGACTTAAATTATCGCACCCGCATTCGTCAATTCGCTGACCGTCTTGACTTTGCAAATCGATTGTCCACCATTATAGGCATCGTCGTAATTAGCACATTCATATCTCGCTGAATTGGACTATGTCGGATCGATCCCTTTTAGACGATGCTAAACAATTTCTGTTACATACGAAGATCTAACCTCAATGCACTTCTCACACGACTCTGCCGATCATCGCGTGTTTCCCGCGAAGCTTGTATTCTTCTGGAAGCAAACTCTGACTCACGCATGAGTAATTGATGAGAGCTTTGACGTTGCCAACCTGCCATCGTCCTCTTATTCATTGCCAGCACTAAGGTGCTATGGAAGGTGAAATATCCATCATATCCTTACCACAAGCAGTAATCGCAGTGATGTTCTGGTGAGTATTGGTGGAACCCTTTTGTGTCCCACGTGGATGTTACTCATGGGGTGAATCACCACGGAACCCTTTCGGACCTGATCCCGTGGTCAACTCAATATTCTAACATTAACTCCTTTCTGGACTTCTTTGGCACTGTGCACTAGGCCTAGCCGTAAGATACCCTGATTCTTCAATTCATTTGGACTCTGGCGACATCTCCTGACTGGTCGGTGTAGCCAATTAGCAGGGGTGTCATTCTGCAAACTAGAAGACGAGGTTCCTTTCTGCAACTCTTGGTATCTTCTCAGGACAACCTTACCCTTTTCTGCTCGTGACTGTAACACGCATTCTTTCCCGGCCCTTGAAAACGAGGCACAATGCGCAGTGGCGGCTGCAATTCTTTCCGTGTACACCTACCTCAATGTTTAGCGCCAAAGTGTGCGTCATCCGTGCTGTCACCAGGTTCTTGCTTGCATGACCCCAGAAGATTGCTATTCAACCTCCTAATTCAGGCGCAGGACCGAAAGATTCCCAGTTCATATAGGACGTTCGGCCGACGGGGAAGATCTTATTGCTAATGACAAGGATGGCGTTTAGGGTGCTGCATTCCACCCTCGCCTGCATCTCAGGAGGTTTGACGTCCTCCTGGGAAGTGCAGCTAACTTACTGTTGGGAATTTGTATGTCGAGACAATGGCTTCATTTGCCTGAACCCAACGCGTCAGCATCGTGTAGCGGGTTTGTGTCACCTGCTTTATTTATTTGTGTTGTGCTACTCAAAGTCTAGGCTTTTCAAAATCAAGGCTCTTGGATTGGACTGACCATTTGTGGGGGAGGAGTCATGGCCCATGGCCTTGTGAGTTTGGGTTTGAGGCTCGTTGAGTGACCGTTCTGCAACAGCTCATTTCGCTGGTTTTGATCCAAGACGTGTCTGGACAATGTTCAGCACAAGGTAACTATTAAAGTAAAGAGAAATGAGGGCAAATATCCTTTGAATTGGACTGATTTTTTTTTTGAATCTTACAACACCTCCTTTACGATTGGTTGCAGTAAGGTTTTCAATCTTAGGTTTCAAGGCAAAACAACCTTGGTTGTTTAGAAGTTCAGGAATGACATAGATATTAATGTGGGGTACAATGTAGATACTGTCCTTTTGCAACTTGCCTTGCTGTTGTTAATGAATTGTCCTCTTGGCGTCTGTCCCCCTTGACTGTCATGATCAAGCTGGCATCGAATATGGCTGGTTGGCTGTTGGAAAGTGGTATATGTATTGCAAATATATGTATTGCAAATTCGTCAGGTCTCTAATTAATACCGGCGAGAAAGAACATGGAATATCCATATAAACACGATGCAAAATTGAACAACACGGAGAAACATAACGTAAAAGATCAATGTCGCATGAACATCCCATCTACATAGCCCAATTTCCGACTCGTATTAACCCTCCTAGTCTTCGCTCCGCGTCGCCAGGAACGCTCCGCTACCGACGCTATTTGTCCGCCTAACTCCACCGAAGCCGACGCTCGGGAACTTAGACTCGCGTGCATCTTTCGGGGAAACTGCATCTAACGAATGCTCTTTAGGCACCTCGCCGTCTTGCTCCACTATGAACGGTTCAGAAGGTGCGAATTTCCGCGAAAAGTTCGCGTCAACAGGCGAATCCAGCGAGGATAAGGAAGCAGACTGGGAAGCTGGAGAGCCTGATGATTTCTTGGACGACGTGGTCGCACTGTTTGATGATCGCGACTTCTTCGACTTCTTTTGCCGCGAGGCGTCAATGAGTGCGCCGGGTCCGGAGGTGGAGCCGACGCTTGGCGAGCCGAATTCCTGAGTACGGACGGCTGTTCCCGGCGCGAAGACAGGAGACGGAAGTGGTGAACCTTGGAAGAACTGCTGATGATGGTGATGAGTATAGTGTGAGGAATCAGCGTTCGAACGCGAGGCGGAGGTCTGTGACTGCGACTGCGAGCGAGAGCTGTCTGAACCACGAGATCGTGCCTTGCGCACGTAGGCTTCGCCGCCGAAATCTGCCTCATCTCCGTCTGCGGGATCCTCGTCGACTGCATGTGGGTTTGAACCGCTGACGTACGGCCCAAAGTCATCTCCGGGAGCTCTCGGTACGGGCGGCGAAACCTGCGAGAAGGACAGCGAACTGGGACTGAAAGGCGAACGGAACGATCCACTGCCTTGGAAGCCCTCAAACTCTTCACCGTCCAAGCTCATTGTTGTACCGTTTGCGAGTGCAGCAGCCATTCGCTTAAGCTTGCGTCGCTCTTGTCGCCGACGTCGCCTCTCTTCCTTCTCCTCTCGTTCTACGCGCCGTCGCTCCTCTTCTGCTTCTCTCTCTGCTGCTGCCCGAGCTGCATGCGCAGCTGCGTCCTCCGGGGACAGTTGCGAGATTGCAACCGTGTCGAGTGGAGAAGCATCTGAGTCAAATGCGGAAGCAGATGAAGACGAGTGTGCAGAGGCAATTTGGCCTATTGCTAGTCGGCCCGGGCGGCGCTTACGTCTACTTCCGTCGTCGGGCTCATCCTCCTCGGAATCAGAGAGCTGGATGGGTGGACGGCCAAATAAATTGAATCCAAAAAGTTGAATAGACTTATGGGCCCGCTTTTTCTTCTTGCGTCGCTGCTGGGCACCTCCTATGTTCGAATGTAGTGACAGAGTCTCAACATCGCCGTCGGTGTCGGCTACATCACCGAGAAGACCCTCGAGCTCCTCGTAGTGACGTTGTGATCGCTGTCGAGATGAAAGGCCCTCGTTTTCAGCGTCCGAGTCAGACGTCGAACCAGGGTTGTTGAAGCATGGAAGGCATGTGTTGACAGTCGCACGAAGTCTATCAGTCCATGAGAACGATTCCATTCGCATCCCTTGCTAGAAATAGCAGACAGATCCTCAAGAATTGCGGCAGAACGCAGAACAGACGGTCGAATATCGTGTAGAGAGGGGCGAATAAATAAGAAAGAAACGAGAAACGGTGAAGATGCCGTTGACCGAGTGTTTGTCGCGCAGGTTGAATTCACGTGCTCTCTCTCTTGTGCGTCGCCGTTTGCCGGATCCGTTCAACGTAAATGAGTGTCAACCAACCAACCATGACCGACAACACACCCGCCAATATCGCTCCCGGGCCTTCTGCAGACGGTAGTACCGTCCCAGACCAACCGCAGGAGGCTCCAGAGCTAGCAGAAATCAGTGAGCATGAGGTGGGTGAATACCGCGAGCAAGACCGTTACCTTCCTGTGCGTTTCAATCGTCGGTCACATTTCCGCTATTCTCACCTAACGAGTGCATCCGATTACCGCATATAATCACGGTTCTTTATAGATTGCGAATGTCGCACGTATCATGAAAGCGGCCGTGCCGCCAACTGCGAAAATTGCGAAAGACGCGAAGGAATGCGTACAAGAATGCGTTTCTGAGTTCATCAGCTTCGTCACGAGTGAGGCGGCCGAAAAATGCGGTCTAGAAAAACGAAAGACCGTTGGCGGTGAAGACGTCCTATACGCGCTTGCCAGCCTTGGCTTCGAAAATTATGCGGAAACACTCAAGATTCACCTTGCGAAACTCCGTCAGGTGAGCATTTATTGGCTACCTTATAGCTTTTACTTTACTCATTCATCTGTCGTCAGCATCAAACAGCTAACGCTGCCAATCGTTCTGCAGACACCACTATGGAGATGGACGAAGATTGATAGGCGCAGTATCATATAATTGTGTGTATTTTTATTTCATGTCATCGTGGCGACGACTTTGGATGGTCCCTCGATATCAAGTAATATTTTGAGCTCAGCAACAAAGCATTGATTACAAGCAGCTAGAAAAAACTGCAGTGCACACGCGGCCTTACCAAACGTGATTTATTAATTATCTTTAAAGAAATCATCACCATAATCCATGCGAAGTTCAGTTCCTCGTTTTATACGTTTCGCTAGATTGAGAATGCTCATTCAGTCCACCTACAAGAGTGGCCTCGATCAGGGGGGAAATAAAACTCACTTGCATAAATTCCTATACGAATTACACCATTTACATTTTGATCTACGTATTGAGCTAAATTAGCATAAACAACACAATGAATGCAACTCGTTTACTTACACTTGGCTTCGCAATTCACCCCTCTTTCATCATCATGATTGATGAATCTCGACTCATTACCGGCCCTCGAAGCGTCAATAGAAAATGGGCCGACGAGATTGTAGAGATAACTCCGGCCACGAAAAGTGGCTAAGCAACTGGAAGTAATCAATTACTCCTTTATTCAACGTAGATAAATTTCATTCTATAGAAATACGCACCCGCGGCTGTTTGCAGTACTTTCAAAGATGTATTCTCCAGTATATTCTGGTTAAATGTGCGAGATGGGATTAACAAAGAAGCCTTAGGAGAGTAAATGTCATTCCGAGGTGACTTACCAAGGATGAGTTCATGTTTCCGAACTGGCTCGTCTACGAAAAGCCCCATCCCATATTTTGACCGCTTGACTATCGTCTTCTGCTGGGTTGTCAACGAAATCTATAAGGCAGAGCAGATTACTGTACAACCTTCGATTCTCCACGTTGCATCTGAGAACTGTAGCAGCGAAAGAGACGCCCTAACTTGGCTATTAGTTCGTAGATGAGAGCACAATTGCCTCCGGCTCACCTCTGCGTAATGAACGTATAATTAGTAAGAGGTCATGTACGGATAATGGTAAAGGACGCTTACCCTTCTTTGCATGAAATACAGACCTCAGGATCGCATTCTCGACCAGAGCGAAAGCAAAGACAATTATTGCTCCAACAGGTGTGTTTATCATTCCTTCGTACACGGCATTTACAACCGCGGAATCTCTTTCTACCTAAACATAAACTTGATAAACTAGCCGAACTGTGTGTATGAAGTGTATACGTACATTTCGGAGAGCAGCGGCAACTCTTTTCGCAGTAAGCTCCGTTGATATAGCAAGGACAATTAACCGAGCCGTCGCAAGGACCCTCATGATAACATGGTCCGTGACTTGGAAAAGATTAATCTTTCGATTCGATTCGTTATCTGAGAAAAGCCGGGACTTACGGTTCATCGCCCAAGGCAACTTGGTCAACTGAGAGGCGAGCAAATACGTCAATACAGTGAAAAACTCCGAGACTGACAAGCTTACGTTGTTCGACGATAGAATCGGTGGATGCTGACTTTGGACTAGAATTATGAGGATCATTGTCAGATGGTGAAGCCAGGCTTCGTCGAATTTTGTGGGCCTTCGAAATCATTTAACCAAACACTAGAGGACAATACAAGATTTTAAAATACCTCACAACACGTCAAGCCACAGGACACAGCCAATTGGCAAGTGGACATGCCAGGAAACACTGCTAGAGTTGCGATTATCATATTTCGAGCAGTCTCATTGTCTCTATTATTCCCCTAAGAAAGCAGCATTAACAGAAAGCAGGATTTGATGACAGTGTCATGAACGACGAACCAACGAAGATCCTTCTGATAAAAGAAAACAGGCTGATCCACACGGTTTCACTATACGGTTTGATTTATCACCTAGGGGTGTACCTTCCTGTGGACCTATGAGTGGATATTTTTCTGGCGCAGCATTCAGATCTTGAGGCTGTAATCAAAGATCCATATAAGTCATACTCACCATGCAAAGCACAAAAAGTCCCGATACAGTTCAGATTTGGGCAAAAGCACTTGGCTATGCCGTCAAAGCGGCTCCGTATGCCTGAGAGTGCTGGAAGTGACAATGACCTTGGAATATCACTGTGCTGTATCGGGAAAGGAAGCCATTGAAGGAGGACTCTGAGTCCATGTATCAGCATCAGCTCAACAAATAGCATATAAAATGCACCTTTGCCCCAGCGAACTTATCGAAAAATTCGGTATCAGTATGCGTTTGATTTCTTCAAGAGGTACATCGTGGTAATTGTCCAACCGCCTTATTGCCTCCAGGACAATCATCTCCGCTTTCGAAAGGGATATATGGGATCACTAGCACCTGAAAAGCATATACATACTACGTACTGTCAGGATCTAAGTTGCGATTTTCTTCTTCCCAGGCAAACTCATCGTAATAGTGGTAGTATTCGTCAAAATCGAAATCGTCGTCGGGAAATGGAACGAACGGCATGGCGATCGGGTCGTCACCGACAAAGGTGCACGTATTTATGGGAGCACAGGACTCATATGGTGGGAATGGTTCCATTTTCGGAGCTTTCATAACAGCCACTTGCCAGTTCATCATATCTTCTGTTGAATCGCTTCGACGGATAACGTTCTCCTCTGGCCATTCCCACTCGAGTGAATCCGGGCTTATTAGCCAGTCAGATGTGTAATCCTGAGGGGAGCACAAGTGAGCGGGTTCAGATTCATCATCGTCGTCGTCTCCTTCTGTATCTACATTGCGCCTAAGGGATTGAATCGCAGCCGTTGAATATTTACGGTTCCAGGCGCAGAATTCCTCCCAGACATCACGATACACAGAAGTCACTAGTAATGGCGTATAGTTATTAACTGGTTCATCCATATAAGTAAAGCTATCGAGGCCAGCTTGCAAGCGCGTTGGCCATGTAGGTAAGTATGAAAGGAGCAACTCGAGTATTTTGTCGGTGTCAGTAAACGCGTACTGACGCGTGCGAGTCACACAGAGTCACATCATCACGAGTCAATTTTTGACGCGTCTCATATTCCTACGTTCCTCTTGGACCTCCAACTTCAAGTGCTTGCTTATCTTCTACCGCAATGACCAAGTATATTCTTGTTTCTGGAGGGGTTGTGAGCGGGATTGGGAAGGGCGTCATCGGTATGGCCCTGCAAGACATATTATGATCGTCGATAATAACTTTCCTTTCGTGCATTCCCAGCTTCTTCGACAGGCCTTCTGCTTAAAATGGCTGGCCTCAAAGTAACTGCAATCAAGATAGATCCTTACATGAACATAGATGCTGGGACAATGGCTCCAACGGAGCATGGTGATACTTGTTTCTTAACAGAACACTTTACACACATCAACTCAACCTTGCTGTGCAGGCGAAGTATACGTACTCAATGATGGAGGAGAGGTCGACCTTGACCTGGGAAATTATGAGAGATATCTAGATGTCACGCTTACACGAGATAATAATATTACGACTGGGAAAATCTACAAGGAGGTTATTGAACGTGAGGTGCGTGCAGACGTGCATAGCATGTATGCACGATTCGTTTCATGCTGCGCAACTAGAGGAAAGGCGATTATCTTGGGAAGACAGTACAAATTGTCCCTCATGTAACGAATGCCATTCAAGATTGGATAGAACGCGTTTCTAAAATACCATCGGATAATACGGGTGAGGAACCAGATGTCTGCATCATAGAAGTGAGTTCCTTCTCGGCGTCGAAGACATAGTTATGAATTCTTTTCCTAGCTCGGAGGAACAGTGGGTGATATCGAATCAGCTCCATTTATCGAAGCTATGCGACAATTCCAGTTTCGCGTTGGTCATGCCAATTTTGCTCTGATTCACGTTTCAATGGTGCCAGACATGCATGGCGAGCAGAAGACGAAGCCCACGCAAACAACTGTTCATCAACTGCGAGGACTTGGACTTTTGCCCGACATCGTGAGTTACGAGTGCCTGCTTGCTGGAGTGTCACCGACTAACTCTTCCAGATCGCATGTCGTCTTATTGTGCCTAGTCCTCTACAGCCCGCAACGAAGCAGAAAATCGGAATGTTCTGCCACGTTGGCGAGGATCAAGTAATTGGAGTACACGATGTTTCATCGCTGTATCATGTTCCTCTCCTTCTTGAGTCGCAAGGCATTGTCACTTTCCTACGGAAACGTCTCGAGCTCCCTCCAATTGACCAATTACCGAAAGCGATGATGGAGAGAGGCCTTAGCTTAAGCAAACGGTGGAAAGAACTTACTCGAGGCCAAGAACGACTTTTCGACTCGGTTTCGATTGCATTAGTCGGCAAGTACACCGTTCTGAAAGACTCGTACATGTCGGTTATCAAGGCGCTCGAGCACTCTGCATTCCGTTGCAACCGGAAGCTCGAGATCAAGGTAAGCTTCATGCTCACCCTCTTCAGAGCCTCGCTCAATCGTAGCAGTGGGTTGAGTCTTCCGACTTGGAGCCCGAGACGCAGGAGTCTAATCCTGTCAACTACCACGATGCCTGGCGAGCAGTTGTCGGCGCTAAGTGAGTTTCACAACTGCATGGACGCGCAACTGATTAGTAAAATATAATATGTGTATCAGCGGTATCCTGGTTCCGGGAGGGTTTGGGCAGCGCGGGACCGAGGGCATGATCCAAGCTGTGAAGTGGGCTCGCGAACAACGAATTCCCTTCCTTGGTATCTGTCTTGGATTCCAAGTTGCAGTTATTGAATGGGCAAGAAACGTCTTGGGCATGCCTGGTTCGCCTTTGCCCACTATGATGCTACTATCTATTGACGATAGGCATATTTGATACTTTACTTAGCGGGTAACTCTGGCGAGTTTTCTACAGAAGACGAGAGCTCTGTTGTCATTTTCATGCCTGAAGGATCACGTACTCATATGGGCGGGACCATGCGTCTTGGCCTACGACCAACGGTCTTCAGTCCCGACAATGTGCATTCAAAGGTGCGTGCACTATATGGTGGCGCAGAGAAGATCTGGGAGCGCCACCGACATCGGTACGAAGTCTCGCCTCAATACGTTAAGCGTCTAGAGGAGAGCGGCATGCGCTTCGCTGGGAAGGACGAGAAAGGTGAACGTATGCAAATCATGGAACTCGGAGGTACGTCTGTCCGCTCTCTATAGCCAACTCTAACCACTCAGAGCTTACCATGACATTAGATCATCCATACTTCGTCGGCCTACAGGCTCATCCAGAATTTTGCTCACGGCCACTAAATCCTTCACCGCCGTTCCTCGGATTTGTTGCCTCTTCTTGCGGGCCGAGCGAACTCGCAGATCAATGTGAACTACAAAGGCAGACCTTCGTACCACCTCATCCACCTGGTGCGATGGTAGACGAAGCAGAGATCATCCGAAAACAAGGAAGAGAGGGTGATCTCGTTAATGCTGGTGCACCAATTGCTGGGGAGAAAGTCGCAAATGTTATTCCGAACGGCGCTTAATGCATGAAACACATGCTCTATGATGTCAAGTATCTTTTGTGATATTCAGGTAGATAGCCAAGCACATACTATTTCCCTTTGTGCATCACATTTATAATAAATTAGATGTTTTGAATGAAATATTGCAAAACTATTGAAACATATGCACAAAATGACTGTTTATTTGTCCCCTTTTTTTTCAATGTTTTAGGTAATTTGCTTCCCATCTTTATCTTACAGATTCCTAGCCCGGGAGCGGCCCTAACGAGAGAATATATTTTATCCTTGGAAATGCAGGTGATTCGCTTAGCCTAATAATCGAAGATTGAAGTTGGTAGAAGTGCCACTTTTCCGTCGCAAATTGGCTCAACAGAATTATGAGTAACAACTGTTTTTGCCTCCTCTCATCAAATGATCGAAATTCGCTCCTTCCGCAGCACATTACCTCCACACATTGTATCTTCTAGATCCGAGACATCAATATTAGTATAGCTGTGTCTACATACTCAGTATGGAAGCACCCAAGCACATTCATAAGTGGTCAGTTTGAACGATGAGATACTTGTCTCAGATAAACGGAATCAACATAGTCTAAACCAAGCAGATCGTACAATGATTGGCAAGACCCTCTTTTGTATTACTTAAATCGTGATACATAGCATACCATAGCCAGAGAAGCCCATCTTATCCAATACGGGTGCACAGCCTGGTCTTCTCGCAATGGAATGTACAGTGAAGTTTTGGTTCCATCGCATGAATCAAATGCAACAAAGCTGGGCAAAATGGTATGTGCAGGCGACCACTAGATAGCTGGCTCACTAAGACATTATAGTTGGTGTTCCATTTCCCGCGACTTACGGTGCAATTGAATTCTCTGCGTACTGGATGATCGGCAAAGCCGGCGGTGAACGTTGTCCCCAAAGAAGCGAACATCGCAGCCCGACGCGCGTGCGTAGATACGGAATAACTTCTCGAGTCACCTAGGCATCTGACTCGGCTGCAATAATTTTCAGACTCCATCCAGCATGATCTCCAGTCAAGAACCAAAGAAACCAAGATGACAGATCTCGTAGGCTCGGAAGCAATGGGCCGACTTTATGTGCTCGTGGGTTTGCGATGTCGGGACCGACTCAACGGAGGAACGTCAGAATAATGATGCGAGTGTTCTGCGCACATGAACATCTTTCTTAGGAAAGGTTCAAGAAGATATCCACGATGCAACGAGCAGTAGTGTACTCGGCAGGAAGTACCCGGTGGATGCTTTTTCAAAATGATCAGGTTCAAAGGTGAGAGTTGTTGTGTATGAGTGACCCGCAGTTGTCATGAATGGTCAGACCGAGTGTCGATAAGGAGTTGCTGGTCAGGCACATCAGCAAGAGTCAAGGAGAGTGCGTCTAACTTGTCGACAAACATGTCGTGGTGCTTATGTAGTCAGAGATCTGAGCTATGATCACTATTAATTTGGTCATGTGAGATCATCGACCATGTGTTCTATGAATAACCTTTCGAATGAGATTGATAAGCTCCTGTCGCTTGTTGCTTGGGCTGCGGAGAAGAAGAGGACGACAACATGCCGCCGAAAGGCGCGAGCATATCGTCGGGAGATGGAAGCGTCAGTAGTGCTACGCAACAAGCGCGACCGATGCTGTCGGTTATCGGACAGTCAGCATTGTTGATGGACGTGTGTGCACATAAGTAATCAGCTCGAGACCTCACTCGGCGTTTATTTTTGAGCCAGAAGGAGATCTGCCCGATGAACCGCGAGGCCCTGCGCAACGGATTTGCTGATACATTGCAAGTTCTATTCAATTCATTTGAAACTAGATTCAATTTGCCCTTGGCGCTACGCGAGTAACCGCCTGAGTGCCAGTCCGACACGCTCTTGATCGTTCCGAACTGTACATAAAAGTTCGACTCTCATGATTCTGATGAGAACAGTCCAGTCATCCGCCCTCAATCTCCCCACTCCTCGCTGCTTCGTGCTCGCCATCGTGGCCGATTCCCTGACGTTCGCGTTGGTTAACCACGCGGCCGCTTGCTCCCCATGTCCTCGCTGCCGACAGGATATACTGATGCGGCGTACTTGCGGGTAGCGTCGATGGCGATCGGGGCATACGAGTCTGTCCATTTTGTCCGATTGCCGTCCAAGTTTCTTACATTGACTGTCTTGACTTTTCGTTTGACAGGCTGATATGCACTTTACCTGCTGAGTATCGCTTTTATCGACGGCAGATTCGTCGGCGGTCTTTCAGGTTAGTCGCAAATTTTTGCTCGAGTCATTCGTAGTTGCGGAAGCTGCTTTGTTGCTTCGATTGATCACGAACGATTGATTGATCTCGCTGAACTTTCTTGCAGCCAGTACTGTACTCTTTTCATACTCATCCGGTGTGTTGCTTCTGCCATGTCTTCCAATGAGTCCGTTACTGACAAGGTGCGGTCGTTGTTAGATATCTAAGCGTTGTAGTGGTCGTCGTCAGTAATGTCGGCTTCTTCGGTGACTTCCCAATGCTGGAAGATTGTCGTCGCTTCATGCTTGTCTCTCCTATCTGCAAAGGTAACTCTAAAGCATTCGTTTGCAACTCGGGCGCTGATAAGTTAAAACCTCCACTAAATAGTTCTGCAACAAGTCGTGTCCCAATTAGTTCTCTTATCAAGGTCCGCATTTTTCATATTATCCTATGGTCACATTTGTATTATGATGTTCATGTCATACCCGATTTTAATCTATCTAAAGGACAATTGCAATCTCACGCAGGTCGCGCTGGGTGCTCTGGGTGTTGATCGCAACGCTCTTAGTTACCGTACCTGTAGGGTGTTTATCCTATTTTGTTTTGCCTCTTCCCGCGACTTAAATAATATCCCGTCGTTCTAGGGAGAGTTTTATACAAATATCAGCCAGAGGACACGTAAGTCCACGCCTTCTTAGTGTCAAATTACTTACTAATTGTCTTTTAGCTGTCTGGAATCCGGTAACAGTAAGTCTTCGTGTTGATTAAATAGGAAGTCGTCTATCTTACTTTGAACCCCCAAATACAGCTCAAGTTCGTTTTCCTAATGTTTCCCAAAGGAACCAAGGCTGAAGAACCTTCCCTCTCTTCTCCACTTCGATAGCTGCATATCCGGAAATGTTGCCACGCGCCGAATTGCATGGATTCACTATCTTGACGCGATGATCTTTGATCTCGTTGCCACCTGCATCTCGACTGGCTACTTATGGTATTATAGGACAACTGCGAACAGGTGCGATTGTACATCAGTAATTCTGATACAGATTCTAACCATAACAATATGCTCATACAAAGGATATCATATTTCCTGCAAACGTATAAATTGTTTTACACAAACGTCGCCTATGAACCCACTTGCTGATTTGCTTCGCTTATTAGCCTCCTATATGAAGGACTTGGTTACTTCGTCATTCTGACTGGTACGTTCCGGTGATAGAGATCCGGCATTACCTTTTCGGTACTCGATGAGTAACTAACATCATTGTGAAGCCATAAATATTGCGAATCTTGTGTTATATCTTAAACAAAGTGAAGCGACTCAGGTAGGTATTTTTTGTCTGTTTTGTCTGGCTGAGTTTGACCAACTTTCTTTCTTTAGTCCACTGGGTAAGCCAAGATGCTATAGGGATTACTGTACCCTCAACTAACAAATCTTTCGTAAAGCGCATCTCTCGGATACGTGATCATCTTCATCATGAGCCAGCGTATTCTTCTTCGACAAAGAGGTATATAGAGCGATGTTCTTCTGCACTCGTGTGTATCTTCTGACCTCTTCATATATGCAGAATTCGCGGATAAGTACTCCAAGTCGTCCGCGTTGTCGAGTGGCAGCGACGAAGTCTCTGTCTCTCAACGGCTCGACACAACGCGCGAAATAAACGATGCACTACGCTCGCAATTCGAAACGTACACTAGCAAACCATCGTTCTCTCAATCCCATTCACATCATAGCCGTACGTGGAGTCACGGACGACGTGTGCACGAGCGTGCTGAACTGGATTTGGACGAGCCAACGTCAGCAACGACGGATCGTGACTCTCGATCATCACCTACAGACCGACGGCAATCTGCAAACGATGTTGAGTCGGGGTTCGACGTGCAAGTACGGATTGAACGAACAGTAAAGGTGGCACATCTTCCACCTGCGGCAGCCTTAGGACGGGAGACCTATAGGAAGCCGCGTGTTATGTGGGAGGTTTGAGTGGTTGATTACCACCCAACACCCTTTAACTCCTTTTCTTGTACACGCGAGGATTCGGCTCCGACGCTTTTCCGTTTCCCTTGATATGGAGCCGAGTCCCATTCCTCGTATTCGCTCTATCTCCCGCTACACGTACATGTATTATTATCAACTCGCTATCACCACAGCAGCTACTACAGTCACCGTATCCCAGGACCCTGTATTACTGCCCTCATCTGTACACTACAGACTGTACAACATACAATATGACTGACACACGACTAGTTTTTGCGAACATCCTCGACACACTCGCTATTACCGCACTTTCGACTTGCTTTGTCCAATTTTCACCCGCATCTGCACCGCACCTTATCGTACTATTCACGCTCATTTAATTACCGCTGTCTTAATCTTGTACCTTAGAGTTTTGTGGAACCATATACATAATATACATTCCTTGATAGTCTTACTCATATACTTACTACATAATGCACCTATCATCAAACCTTCAGTAGCCCTTTCATCTCCAAACAATATAATTGCTTGACATCACAAAAATGCACTCGTGCGGTAATGAACAGTATCTACTGTAATAATAATATCTGCCGGTACAATATGTGGCATGAGTGGTTAATTATAAAGCACAAGCAGAGAGATGGATTTAGTCAAATCCGAAAGAGGTAAATAATAATAAAGCCAAAATAGGAAATAGATAAGTCGAGTGCATGACGTAATTCAAAGAAGCAATGGCGCTTCTTCAGGGCATAAGAATATTAACATACAACAGAGTTCAGACCAGTTCAAAGATCTCACAGCGCTGCAATTAAAAGCCAACAGAAAGATACAGCGCTCCATAAGGAAATAGAAAAATCAGATTGCTATCTACTAATAGAGGTAGAAGTGCTGAGAGGAACGAAAAAGATGCACACAGGGACTTGAATAAAACCTTACGATAGGCAGAGGGGTGAGGTATACAGGCGTTGAGAGTAAAGGGACGCAGAACAGTATTGCGAAAGGGTAGTAAAACAACACGGGTGAATTATATAATGCAGGACAGAGAGAGAGACACGTGAGTTGTTTACCAAGGAGTACGAGAAGACAGACATAAAATCGCACAGCGAAGAGAAAGACAAGGAAAGGAAGACAATCTACGGTTATTGGGTGGATACGCATGAAAAATAATATGAGGGAAACTACTGTGCACCAATGAAGGAACCATCCAGGTAGGCGAAACCTATCCGATAAGCTGCGAGTTCTTAAGGTTTGCACGAAGCACCATGTCGGCCACTGTAATTCATCGAATTCCAGGAAAAGGAATGGATCAGTATTAGCAGCCCAGTCAATGGAATGGAAACAAAAGAAGTATAAAACAAGTACAAGTCAACGGGTCTAAGTGGGAGAAAACCATTGCTTGGTTTGAACAGTAAATTTGTGGTGTTAGCTTGTCATGGCACGACTCTTCCCCAATCTATCATTATCCATTGCACCAAGAAGCGCGAACAGATGCATGCCAAGAAGAAAGGTAAATAGTCGGGAGTGCATGCCAAATATATCGAACATACGGCGGGGATCACATTAAACCCGGCCGACAAGACCAGTCCGAAAGGGGCGGGATTAAGTCCGCGCAGCAGCTCCTGCTTTCTCAACGGAAGCACACATATAATCAGGCAGGAAGAAAGAGAATGCGAGAAGCGAGAATTCCTGACGCGAGTGGTCATCTGTGGAGCAAGAGAGTACGATGGTACAAGTGGAGTAGAGCAAGAACTGCATCGAGCAGAAAAGGCAAGCAATACAGAGATTGACTGGCGCCACTCAGGGCGTAGATGAGTCGGGTAAACAGAAGGGGAAAAAAGGATAAAAACACGGAAAAAGGGCAGGCGAGCTCACCGTTTTCAAGTACTCTCGATGTCATCTTCGTATCCTGTTGAAATAGTGGATTGTTTAAATGCACAGGTAGGAGGGATCCAATGTATCCCGATTCGCAGTGGACGAGTCCGTTTACCCAGAATCGTACACATTCAATTGTTGATAGATTAAGTCACCGGCGCGTCCGGAATTTGCGCCGTGCCGAGGCAGAGAGGTGTGAAGGGGCGGGAGAAGCGTCACGATGCGATGCGATAAAGGCGGCGCAGTGAGAAATGAAAGGGCGTGTAAGAAAAAGGAATAGCGTTAGTGTCAGAATGTTAGTTTGTAGAACGCAAACGCATGGCACCATATTGCTATAGTACGAGATGAGCAGAGAAGGGAAGAAAATGTGCCGCCAGGGGCGGAGTCAAGAGCGGAGTCGGAGTCAAAATCAGCGTTGATGAGAAGGAAGAGGAAATAAAGAGCCTCGTGAATGAGAATGAGAACACTAAATGGGTTTAATGAAAGAAAGGGGGGGAACTGAGACAAGTGCGTAGCACGATGCATTTGGCAAGGTAGGATTGTTACTGATTCTCCGAAACGAGTAAGGCTGCGAGGGGAAGTGAAGGCATTTAAAGAAAGGCTTAACACGGGAGACGTTGGTCGAGAATAAAAATAGAATGTGACAAGAAGGAGTGACGAGACGTGACGCACCGTGACAGAAGTAAAATGACTATAGAATTGACGCGGTTCGGGCGAATGATCGTGGTGAATGTTGTAAAATTTGCGTCGTAAATCTATTGTTTAGTATAAATGAGCCATAATCAGTAACAGCTTTCGGAGGAGTACATCCTAGTACAGGGGACGCGAAAAAATACACCGTAGACCTACATTCACTCGCATGCTCGAAGTCATTCGGTCGGTCTCCGTAACTGATCACGTATTTCCCTAGTCGGATCCCAGCTCGTAGTTTCGCTTTCAATACATCGCATTTATTGAGGAATAAGACAAGGTTAGTCTTTGCAAGCAATTGGTTGGAGACTACGCTCTTCCAAAGAAGCACACTGTCCTCCTGTTCGACGCAACCCATGTTTTATATTGTCAATACAGACACAAGGTGGGGGAAAAGGAGGGGGGAGAAATAACGATTTGTTCATCAGTACCGGTAATGAATTTAATCCGACGGGATAAGCTGAACAATGAAAGGATACGTACGAGCCTGTTAACAGTGTTATCCTCCATGAGTACCTGGTCAAAGCAGCTTATCGGAGCTAGAAATATGATTGCGTTCATGTCGTCAAAGAACGGCACCCATGCGGCTGTTTATATTCAGCATTTAAAGGTAACACCAAGGATCCAATAACCAGATGAGCAGTAGCCAATTTCCAAAGAGGTTATTAAAAGACAAATCAAACAAGAGAAATAATGGTGTACGCACCTCGCTGTTCACCATGATTAATCACGCAGAAGACATGCGATTCTCAGAACTATACAGAACAACGGACGATGGTACCCACCAAAGAACGTTGCCCGCCAACATCGTATACTCTCCAATCATGGCTCATCGCGTTTCCTGTCGTATGAAAGTCAGAAAGCATCCACAGAAACAGACGAAGGCCGCGGAAGCGACGAAACGGAGATTAGTGAAATTAAATCCAAAGCCGAAAAGAGTAAGTAATTATAGACGAAAACTTACCGGCCTTCATAGTAAATCGGTACTCGGTTACGCCGAGTGTCTTCAGTCGGGCTTTCAATATGTCGTCTGGTGGTAAAGGTGAATATTAATGATATTTTAGCGTCCGGTTAACTCTGACAAGCCTCGGCGATGTAGTGTCCGAGGGTGGCGGAGACGACATACCATCCGAGGGCATGTAGTCGATTCTTGTTATTCGGTCGAGAGAATCTAGGAAACTATAAACTATAGTTAACGACCGACATGATAGAGACGAGGAAAAGGGAACGGTATAATTCAAGTTGCAGTCTTGTAGGAGCGCTGAGTGCATAAAAGAAAGCAGAGAACGAGTTGATATTAATAGCATGGCATACTCACAATCCGGGCATCTCTTCCAATCTCAATTTATTTCGACTAAGAAGTGTCCTTACGCGCACATCCGCCCAAAGCGCACGCAAATCAGCCCCACAAGCGCACAACACCCGAGTCGGGTCGCGCTCATCTGTCCAGTCGATACCATCTTCGCCGAAGGCACCTATACAATACAATTCAATACATGAGGAACGATTAAGAGTAGACACGTAAATTAGTACGCGGTAATGGAGATAAGAGGGAGAAAACGAAAATAGACAAACGAAGGATAACCAACGAAGTAGAGTGGATGGCAGAAACGAGATTTACGCACCTTTTTCAGAGCTATTCCTCCCTGCACCCAGCATCTTTGTAAACGCCGTTTTCCATGCTGAGCCAGCGAATACAGAGACCTCTTTCGTTGTCCCAGTCGCAGTCCCTGTGCCCATACCATTTGCATCCAGTTTCAATGTAGCCTTCACTTTGGACGCTGAACCAGTTTCTGTATGGTGTTTACTCAGCACACATTCCCTTTCCGAATATGACTAGCGATTTTCGGCGACCAACCTTGCTTCTTTTCCCCTGCGGCTCTCCCCTCTCCAGAGGTCTTGCCTGCACTTGCGATGGAACTCGAAGATGAGCTCGTGACCGCATGCGGGTTCTCAATCTCCTTCAGAGACGTGCCTGTAGCAGCAGCGACCGGCATCAAACGTGCAAGTAGTGTTGCCTCGGCATCTAGCAAGGGTAGGAGCCGAGCACGGAGGACCAGGTGGGCTGGAGTCATCAAATTGGTAGCTTGCGCCTGAATATTGGCTCCATTTTTCTGATGTTGTTGGTGCTGCGCTTCGTCAGGTGAAGCCACCGACACCGCATCTCCTCCGGCCGAACCAGGAGCTGACTCAGTGTCCTGTAGATCAAGAGAGAGCCCTTGCGCCTCAGCGGCATCTGCGATTGCGTCTAGGATGAGGCGCACGGAGCGCACGACGTTCAGTTGCACCACAGCACGCCATGAGAGGCGCTCTTCTCGGAACGCTCGGGGCGAATTCATTAATTGAAAATCTATTTGGGAAAGTGCGAAGAACGTTCAGCATGTTTTGATCTATGATGAAGTAGAATTGCCTTCCAGCATGCTGGGAAGCAGCGGGAAGGAAACGTGAAACAAAGGTACATCACGCGTGATAACGACAGGAAAAAACAAGAGCATATGGTCATGCGAGTGGGGATGCCGAAGCAACGATCACGGATGAGCATTACGATCGGTAACCTACTCACTTTTAAGAGTCGTAGATTTGCCTGTTCATGGAATATTAAGATTAGGATATACCGGAGCAATCGGTCAACAAGCCGTAAGGTATGAAATTAAGAATGAACACACCAGATTCACTTTGGCCTAATTGCAAATGCAAGAGCCATTCCCGAGGGACGTCAGAAACGCACATTTGCCACCCAGCTAAATGAATGAGTAAGCTCACCGAGCAAGAGGATTTTGACAGGCCGTTGGCCCTTTTTCTCCGCGGCACGTTGTCGCGCCAGCTCCTCGTCAATCATGTCAGAGATGCGCTTTGCATCTGCGGCGGCGGCGAGACGTGCGGCGCGTTGCTGTGGTGTCTCATTTGGCGGAGGAGCAAGCGCACGCGTTAAAGGGTCATCAGACGAAAGCATGCGTTGCCGTTCATTTGCAAGGTCAGCGAGAGCACCGGTCTCGGAGAGAGGGATGCGGTCATCGTAGACGACGTCGGCGGGAGGTGACTTGGGAGCTCGGCGTGCGCTGACCATAGTGACACGTAGGGAGAAATAAGTGCAAGCCGGTGGGGGCACAAGAGGGGGGAGATGGCGGATTGAGAGAAGGGAGGAAAAGAAATAGGAAGAGAGGATGATGGGTCTGTCAAAGATGGAAGGAAGCGAAGAGAGAGAGAGAGCAGAGCAGAAACAGACGCGTGTTGACGCGCGCACTGCCAGATCGCCCAACCACGCTTCCTTCCAGGCGTCCTCCACGTCCTGCAACGACCCCTCGTCGTCGGGCACGTCGACGTCGACGTCGACAAGTCCGCGTGCACCACGTCCTCCCCCCATTACGACTTCCATGCTATTGTCTTTTCTGCCTCTCTCTCAAAAAGGCAATGCCGTCGATGTCATTGTAGCTTTTCGACGCGGACCCTACTTAGGCGCCGTGACTGCCTTTTTCATCGGCGGTCCTCAACTTTTACCCAACACGTCTGCCGATAGGCATAGCTGTCTTCCGGCCAAGGAACATATCAACACTCGTGTATTCCTAGTCTAAGCCTTTCGCGTGTTACCTCTATCGTCCTCCTGCCTCCGAACATCGATCGACCCTCACATGTCGAACAACAGTCTAAAGCAATCAGAACATCACCAAAGCAATGAGGGATATCAATGTCAGCGTCGGGGTTGTAACCACTGCATCCATCTTCCTTTCCTCATCTACTACTTCCCTAACACTATATCGCGCTTCTGCATTAATATCAGCTAAGAAGCTGCTGATAAAGCTCAATAATGCCATACACGATATGGCTCTATGTAAACTTACTATATGCATTCCCGGACCTTGGTATCCACTATCTATACACGAAAGTCTCTGGACTGGCAGACGCCCTGTTTTTCACACCTGTGCAATTCTTAGCCCACGAATGAGTATGCATGCATACGGCTATTACTGTATCAGGATCGAATACAAAAACTTGGTCTGCATCTTCGCTCTCTTCCGCGCCTTCCATCGTCCCGTGCTCGCTCGGCTGGACCCATATGTTTTTATTTGGCCTCGTGTCCTCCGACGCCGCCCGCAAATTGGTGCTCTCAGCGCATGACAAGGCATCCCGAACGACAAGCAATTTATCTACTTTCGTTCAAAAATTATCAATGGCTTTCCTGACCGATCTCCGACTCGGCGTTTTTATATTCCTATTCCCCGAGCGTTTCCTTTTCATTCTGGAATTCCCCCCTATTCTCAAAATTGCCAATCTATTTCCAACGCGCGCGGAAGATAAGAAAAATGAGTTGTGTCAAAAATCAATTCTCGAAAAGGGAACATTGAGGCCTATGGTCCATCGTCGAATGTCTGTACGAAGTGCTTCTGCAACGATCGAGATGGCGAGAGTTCTGTTTAGCCTTAAGATTAACCTGTGACATCGAGCGGTGCGCCTTCCAGAGCTGGTCTTTCCCCACGTTCTGCCAAATCGACTTGGTCCAGTACGCGTCACTATTATTCACTTCGATCATACTCCCAATCCATGCATAGATCCATGAGTCCTAAAAAATCGATCATGGGTTGTATTGGATTTCGGCACCGCAATTACAAAAACAAACCGCTCTGGAATTGCCCTAGACTTGGTGCCTGTCCATCGAGGTTTCAGAAATCCTACTTTATTATCTTTTTCATGCTAGTTTTACGTCCACGCGAATCCGATGCTCAACTTCGCATTGAGATGAAATACAGGCAAAAATCTGGAGTCATTCGACCAGACAAATGTCAATAATTATGCTTCCGACGTTTGGAGTAACTCCGGTCCCCAAATCTATTTGCCTCTGCAGCACATATAGAACAGTATATATTGTGCAATATCAATGCTTGTTATTGGAAGCCGCCTTGTATTGTGTCGTAATTCACACACTTTCAGGCTGAATATCATAGCCAAATGCATAACCCTTTTGATCCGTGAAGGTGCATCATTCATTCAGATTCAGAAGTCACCATCACTCGACCAAGAACTTACGGTTACGTTTGATGAGTGTCATTCCGCTTGCAAAAGTCCGACCGCGAGCGTCACGGAGTATAGGTTATTAGGTTTATGATGCTATGTAGTGAATTGCCTAATACAGTGAATTATTTTGATACAGCAAACTAATAGGATTCGTCGGGGTCAAAAACCGGGTCATTGTCCATACAAATCAACGAGAACATCAGCCACCTCTTCCGGTTTTCCCAACAAAGATTGTACTTGTATCAAGCTCCAAGATTAAATTTGACTGGCAGTCACCCGACTTCTTCGCAACAGCTTCCTTGTACTCTGCACGCGGACAATGTGAGATATACAGTCCCTTTCCTAATCACCGTTGCTACTTAGTGATTATCTCCTTAAGGCTCTGTGCTGGGTAACGTGAGTAACTCGGTTTGTGCGGAACTGAACTAATCAGATTCACTTGCAATTCCTTGACCTCCGATACGGAATATGCACCATTCAGTTTTCTCCTTGGGCAGTGCAGTCAAGCCATAGACAATGAAGCGAGCGATGCCCCTTCATGAGCTCCATGAAGCTGGTACTGTTCCGCAGTCAGGAACAGAAATTTCCCTACCGACAAAGTCGAAGCCGAACGGCTTTGGGGACGCATTGTAAGACGATTTACTAAAATGTTGGAACCTCGTCAAAGTAAGTCAGGGACGTACAGCACGAGTAACATATCCCAAAAAGAGACCAGCTTGGAAAGATGCATATGATACAGGAGGCCAAGCTTCTTCAGCTTACGCCCAAGCTTGTTCTGTGGTAAAATCCATTTTCGTTACCCCGCTTGTATTGCCACCAGATCGAGATGACGCAAAGAGTTTCACAACAAGTACTTTGGCGCTGCTAACAAGTCATATCTTGGACATCATGTGCTGCATTACTGATTGCTGAAACGCCACCGGATACTTAGAGCCACCTTGAGTAAGGTTAACAACGCATAGTCATTACTGACGTGCTTTGCTCCCTTCGCGATAAGGCCGTCGTGACCGTATGGCTCTAAAAATACAAGCATTTTCGTTACTAATGATGCGAAGGTTAATAAACTGCGAAACGTACCGAAGCAGTCCAAATTGGGGTAGATGACATACGCCTTTCATCCTTTTGCAAGGCAGTCAATGAAGGAGCCACTGATATTGCTAACACCAGCAATCAATAGGGGTGGTCAAAATTGACGATTCAGGTTGTGATTCACCTGCACGATTCACTTTGGGTGAAAGTGAATCGTGGACCCCGAAACCCCTGTGATTCGGGGTGAATCGCGTCAACAGGTGAAGCGGCTCTGGAGGCGCTTCACCACGATTCACCTCACACGATTCACCCCTCTTTTTTTTGTTCTTTTGTACCATACTGTAATCCATTACCCTTTTTGTAAAAAATCCTTACACTTCAAATAAAATTTGTAATTCCCACTTGCATATACTAAAATTTGAGTACTAATTAGACTCAATACTTTTTTTCCCTTACAAATTATCAGTCCTATCCTAGAATGATGTTATCTTGCTTTAATACTACTAACTTACTCTGTAACCTGGCTTTTGTATATAGTCGTATATGTATTAATACAGTAAAAAAATGAAGAAAATACTTGACATATGGACAGAATCGAGTACATATACAAGTAGGGGTGAATTGGCCTGAATTGCCTCTGAGAAAGTGGGTTGGTCAAAATTTGTCGTGCAATTCACCCTGCGATTCACCTGCCAGAATCACAAGGTGAATCGCGAATTTTGACCACCCCTATTAATGAGGGTTTCTTTAAGCCAGATAGTACTATCAAGCAGGAATGCAATATTTGTGTCCATTGCAGTGCATCAGAGTTTTTCAGTGGCTTCATACCTTAAATATGCACGATAATAATCAGGCCTCCGTTATGGGACAGCACTGTCCATGAACGGTGCATGAGATTAAGCCGTAAAAAATAAATTAGTCAAACTTGGTACTGAACTGAGCTTAAAATTGCTTACTAATGTCTTGTGAGGAACGTGACGAAACGCGTCGTCACTAGGCCCTAGAATGGATAGGCTTATCCGTGGATCCATACCGTGGTAATAATGTTCCCACGGTAACTGTACCACGGTAAAAATTCCCACGGTTACCGTGGTTTTTTGTGAATCCACCGATGAAGAGTAAGAAAACATATTCTTCCTATATGCACTTCTTTAACTCTAAAATTTGTAATATATTACTTTTTGAGTATTTAGAAGGATGTATTAGTAGAAGTGCTTCTATTGATAGGGAGTGGAACATACAAGACTACTTGGTTGTTGTCTTTCATTGTGTGAAATTTGTTCTTTTGTCATGTGCTGAGGTGTTCACATTGCATTGTACTGAGTGGTAGGGACTGCAGCGGATAAGGCTATCCGCGGTGTCGTACCGCGGTTGACAAATTCCCACGGATACCACATCCGCGGATAACTTTCTCACGGTATCCGCGGTTTTTGCACATCCGTCAGATGTATATAGAAATCAAATACATCTACTGTAGACATTCATAACTTCCAAGTATTAGCATTCATTAACTAAAAAAAGACAAAAAGCATTCTACTATGTCTCAGAACTATACCCTACACTCCTTAAATTCAATATTTTTCCCATCTTACAACATGTCCTTGTCTGACAAGATGTGAGTCATGTGACAGCTGTCTGCTTGTTTGTTTTTACAGAACCATTAACAAATGCACTCTCTACAT